CATATAGCAGCCGCCACAATGTATAGAAAGTATAAATCAGGACAAATATTTACAACGGCTGTGTTGGTAATTGAAGATCTACTTACTCTGAGCTTCTCAAACAGGTCTGACAACTTCTCCAGGTGCCTGAGAAAAAAGTGAAGCCATAACATAACGGCCCGTCCACACAGCAGCGTTAAAAAAATCTTGGAGGTGGGCGTATCTGAAGCTTGGGGATTTTTTGCGAGCAAGGCACCAACAACCAATCACATGAATCTCCCGCCCCCGACATACGAAGCAAAAAAGTTTGAAGTAAACTGGATATAAACTCCCCAAACAGGCGAAAACATACCACTGTCTCTGCCACCTCCCTCCATGCCTGGCTCCTCCGGTTTATATCCCGGTAGGTAAATAGGGACTGGTCATAAAGCACCGGGTGAATCCCTACCGCTAATTTCTCCTCCATGTTTTGGAATATGAGGAAATGACCTGCGGTATGTCTCTCCCAGCATACACGCGGTTTGATTGGCTAGCGCTTGAACTGTCAGATTTGCATACACAGGATTTGATTGGCTGACGCTTCCACCTCAGCTTCAAAAGTTGAACATTGCTCAACTTTGAATCCTGAAAATCCTGAAAATCTCCGCTCTGCTGCCCACAATGCAGTTCGGCGAAAAGTGAGGCAAAGTGACGTCACCCCATTCAAAGTGAATGGGCAGAAGCGTTTCAAGATTTTTTAACGCTGCTGTGTGGACGGTCCGTAACGGCCCCTACACACGGCGGCGTGCGTTGACGCTTCAACGCTTCTGCCCATTCACTTTGAATGGGGTGACGTCACGATTCGCCGAACTGCATTCTGGGAGCAAAGCGTAGCTTTTCTCGCGGTGCTCGCTGCAAAAGTAGAGCAATGTTCTACTTTTGAAGCTGAGGCGGAGGCGTCAGCCAATCAAATCCTGCGTATGCAAATCTGCCAGTTCAAGCGCTAGCCAATCAAACCGCGTGTATGCTGAGAGAGCCAGACCGCAGTTCATTTCCTCATATGCCAAAAAATTGAGGAGAAAATAATCGTCGAGGTAGGGAATCACCCGGTGCTTTCAGTCTCTGTTCAGCTACCGGGATACAAACCGGAGGAGCCAGGCATGGAGGGAGGTGGCAGAGACAGTGGGTGAAACTGGTAGGTTTTCGCCTGTTTGGGGAGTTTATATCCAGTGTACTTCGTTTGAATGGACAGCAGGCAGACAGTATATTTAGCCAGCATGCAATGTTGCATAAAATAGCACCATAGACATTCATTAAAAATCGCTTTTTAGACATGAATGTCTATGGTGAGATTCATACACGGGAGCCTTGGGGAGACACGGGAGATTCATGTGATTGGTTGTTGGTCGCGTTGCTCGCGTTAACTCCCCAAGCTCAAGACATGCCCACCGCCAAGCGGCAACGCACGCCGCCGTGTGTAGGCTGCGTAACTGTGAAGTTACATCGTAGCAAGTAATGTGATTTAATACAGTTGGCATCATCATCATTCACCTTTTGAATGGAACATTAAACTCACTTTTTATTTGCTGTGCTATCATCAGCAGCGAGAGTGTTCAGAGTGGCAGAGATGTGAATGTAATCATCTGCAATGTCTGTAATAACAAAAAAAAAGCCATCAAAATTAAACAAATTTCATATATAACTTTGTGAATTATACTCGACTTAACATTATCGTGGCAATGTCAAAGTTATACTTTTGTGCGAGCGGGTCATTTTCTCTGCTTTGGCAGTAGAATCCTTTATCTTGCTGTAGTAGTCAAGCAGGAATGTCTTCTCCTGCTCAAAAAATTCATCCACTTCCTGTTTAGGACACAAATACGCACAGCCAAAGGTGAATGGGGAAGTAGCTACAACATCGCGGCTGTGATTTCGTTTTTTTTGCACATATCGCATCATGCATGAAGCTCACCTTGATTCCTGAGATAAGGACCTCATCAGCTGACTTCACCATATTTTTAAAGAATCCTCCAAACATTTCCTTGGCATTCTTTCTTCTCACAGTAAGCTTAAAAGACAGAATTAAGAGATTAATCATATAAAATCCATGAGAAGAAATCAGTGTATGATATGTTGTGGGAACTAAGAAGGGTATGAAGTCATGTTTGTAATGTACCAATCGATGTGTTTAACTCTTAGCTAAGTTCTGTTAACAAACACCACAGCCACTGACTGCCAAAGACTTCATAGATAAGCATAAGTGCTGATCACAGCAGGATGGAAGCCATGTGTCACATGTAAACTCAACTTCCTCTTTTCCAACGGACAACTCAGGAAAGGAAGTCAGCATTATGGGGAACTTACATCCTGGTCATACTCTAAGAAAATCTGGAAGTTTCTGTCTTTGCTCAACATGGGGTGGGAGGACACTCTCTGCAGGAAGACTTCGTGCACTTGGACAGTTTTCTTGAACACAGCCAGGTATTCACTGAAAAGAAAACCCAAGACAGCAAGAAGATGTTTTGTTGTGTATTTTCAGAGACTTTTGTAAAGTATCAAACATGACACTTTTTAAATAATACAAGGCACTATGTGGTGTTTTCTTTGAGTGTTACACTCACGCCTCCAGCTCCTGCTTCATTTTAGAGTACTCCTCCTTGGTCATAGTTGCTTCACCTTCCCCAAGTTTATGCATTTTCTCTCTGGGGCTCTCAAAGTCCGGCTTTGGGGGTGCTGGAGGAATCTATGATAAGCAAGAGAAAATATGACATCAGATACTGTAGTTAAAAGGTTAAATGGCCTCAATGTGTTATATAGTATTTAAGCACACGCATATTCTTTGAAAAGGGTGACAGTTTGATTCTTAATTAGCACAAACACTTTGGGCCTATGTTTGTTTCAATTATTAGTTGTTTGTTTCTCCTTCTTTTATACAGGCCCAAAGAAAAATAGTGATATTGCAGCCTCTTTCAATCTCTGTTAGTCATGTCTGAAAGTAGACCAACTTACTATAAGACCAGCATAGTCCTCTGTCTCAACCAAAGTGTCATGTAGCCAGATGAAGTCTTCATGCTGCCTTGGAACAGAGAAATCTGGCTTCTGGAAAGAGCTAAGGGTGGTCTGGGGAAACAAACAATAATTTAATTGCATTTCGAAAAAAAATTATTATCAAACTTACAGCAAACACCCAAATAGAATATTCAAACGGTTGAAAGTTTTGTGTTGGTTTTTTCACCTTTGTATGGACAGTAAACTTGACTTTGTCCCTTTCACAGAGTGCATCAGGAATGTCGATGAGAAGAGAGGCATCATGATTTAGATCTACCGACACAGAGCGCATCTATAGAGAAAGAATAAACAAAGGTTATCCAAGACAGTGTCGCTGGCGGATCTTCTGTGTAAACACCACACACACACACTGATGTCATTCAACTGTAAAAAGTGTAGCTGAAACACTAATCAAGCACAGGTTCGGACTGTTACATTTTGAATACTGGATCAATAATATCAGTTATCAGTCAGGGTTCATGATTATCATTTTACTGGTATCACCAACATCCTAGCTAGTAATGCAACACCACAATTCCTCAGTGTTTGGGGTCTTTCCTAGCCTGACAATATACAAATAGCTGCTATCAGAGGAATGTTCTGTTATCAGATACAATGTTGCGATCCAGGTGTGGTTTTAAAGGTCTGGAGGCAGCTGACTTTTGATCTAACAGTAGGTTCAGAATCCAGTCCTGCTTTTGCTTAAGGCATGGTTACACACCCTTGTTGATCTTATTGTGGAATAAAGAATAAACAATATTTTCTATACTCGTTCACTTTCTGGTGAAGTTATACACTTTGTACTCAGTTTTTCATTTATAGGGTGTATCTATCACAAATGATATTATGTTGAAGTTTTGTTTTAAGGTGTCAATTCAAGTTTGTGGTCATTTAAGATAGTTTACTTGTCACTCTTTCCTTGTTGATTTCAATGAAATGAACAACATTTTAGAAACATAACACAACTGCACCACAAACTAACTTTGCATCCTCCAGATCGACCATAAAGTTGGATCAGAAGTAAAAAATCTAAACCTACAAATTAAAATCAGCACCTGTCAGAATGCTAATAACTTCTCACAAGTCCACTGAATTACCACAGGCAAGTGTGCTGTACGATTCTGCAAAACAGTCCTTTAATTTAGTCAAAACACTAGATTAAGATAACAACATGCCAATCATGCTAACGCTACGTTACTTTTCTTCACTTTTACGTCTTGTGTTGTTGTGAAAAAATGGTGTAAACCGTTTCATATTTTCCTCACTTTCAGTATGTTTGCAAACGATACTTGTTCCAACATGGATGCAGTTTGACACCACGGGGTTAAAGTTACCCACTTCTTGATAGTGTGATCGATTAAACATTAGCTAGTTTTAGCTTGAGGCTAGCGGTATGTAGGTTAGACAGAAAACAACACAAGTTAGCGGCCAGAAAGCAACCGTTAAAGTTAGCTACATTGATGCTAACGGAGTTGGCTTTAGGTGCTATATGTCGAGAACCAGTTAACTTACCTTTTCCTTATTGCTTTCGTCTATGGTGGATGTCATAATTGGACTGAAATCGACGAAAAGGCAAGAACAGGCCAACAACCCAAAAAACAAAACTATATGCAGGAAGCTCCCCCTCTGCTGACTGGTTAGCTGTCAAACCGTTTTTCCTTCGCCTCCATCCCGACTTGACAACGTCAGACTAAATCCCGCCTTCAAGTGAATTGATTGGACGACGGCGAATTTACAAATGCTACGATTGGTTCTCAACGTTATCAATCATACCAAACATTTGTTACTTTATTTTATGACAACTTATTTCCAGCAACAATACTTTATTGTGCTATTATTAGGTGAAGTACTGGTAAGGCGTAAAATGCATAAAAAGTAAGAGAACATAATTAAAAAGCAGTACCACCAGCTCAGGTACACACTGCACATTCTGGGAAATGTAGTCTCTGACGTTGCACCTCAAAACAGGAAGTTGGTGCAACCGAAAAGGCGCGTCGTACAGAAACCATTGTGCATCTTTCTTTGGAGTTACACTGGAACATGCCGGGGCAAGTACCGCGACCAACATGGAGGCAAATACTGTTTAAACACTGTAACCAATTAACGTTTATATAGTTAGTTGTCTAATAGGTTATTGTGTCTAAGCTTGTTGCGTGGAAGTTGAAACAATGTTCATTCTTAAACGCGTGGGGTGCGTTGGAAGCATCATGGTCCCTCAATGCACCTCCCTCTTTGTGGGCAATTTCTCTGCTTGTCATTGCCTAAGTTCCCCAAAGAGACACAGCCCGTACAGCTCAGTGGACAGTGAGCGATACTCCTCTCTTGTTAAGGCTGTCATGTCATCCAAGGTCAGTTCCCAAACCCCAGAGAACCTCCAAGAAGAGGACGAGCACATTTATGGACCTGTTGTGAAAGCTCAAAAACCCTCCTCGGGACCAGAGGTGAGGGTACCCAAAAGTCTGCATCCCTTCTTAAACTGCGAAGAGACTGTAGAAACAGAGGAGGCAGAGTCAGGACCTCCAGCCCGGATTTTGTTGAACCGGGGCAAAGACAGGTCTCCGGTACCCAGTGTGACACGCATTCTTCAGCAGACCCTTTCCCCAGAGCAGATCTTCTACCTGGAGAGGTGGAAGAGGAAGATGATCGCACAACTTGGAGAAGAAGGCTTCCAAGAGTACAGTCAGAGTAAGTTTTCTAACATAAATTGTGTGTGGGATGGTAACTTACATGTGTGGTGTTAAGAGTAAAAAGTGACCAAAGTTGTTTTATTTCATCAGATTTATTTAGGCAAGGGAAGCTTTTCCATTCAGCTGTGGAGGACACTCTGATGTCAGATGCAACAAGTATGGACAAAGAATCCTCTGAGAAAGCAGAATACCAACCTGATGTACAGGGATACATGGAGAGCATCTCCCATGTTCTGGCAGATGTGAGTGCAGTGAGAGCCACTGAAAGCACTGTGCAACATGCCGAGCTCAACTATCTGGGAATTATGGATTGTGTTGCTCGCTACAGGTAGATATTTGTATTCACACACGGAGATAGATTTTTTTTCTCCCACTCAAGATTTGGCTTGACTGCCTGTATTTTTCTGCAGGGGAGTGCTATGTCTTATTGACTGGAAGACTTCAGAGAAGCCCAAACCATTCTTGAGCAACACTTTTGACAATCCTATTCAGGTGGCAGCCTACGCCGGGGCTTTGAACAGTGACGGCAACTACAAGTACCAGGTATTGACATAAACAATGTGATATTTAGATTTCTCTGCTTTTTTCCCAGATTATTTATCTGTCTCAGCCTGAAGTCAGATGACTTACTTGAAAGATACATTATAGAATATTAAGGAACAGATTTAGTCTTTTTAAATACTGGATGTAAGCTACAGTGTGTCACACAAAAGAACAACCTAACTGATCTCCTCTCATTGCAGGTTGAAAATGGTCTCATTGTAGTGGCCTATAAGGATGGCTCCCCTGCACATGCTCATCAGTTGAGCTCAGAGCTAATGTTGAAGTACTGGACAACTTGGCTGCTTCGTCTCGAAAACTTCACAGAACAAAGGTAAAGCAGGCAGCAGTTTAATTTCCGCTTTTTTTTTTATCATTGATATAAGTCAGAGGTAAATGCATTAATACTGTTTTATAATGCTGTTATTAACCAGGTCTCAGACTTGACTTTTGGCTACAGTTGTGGCAATTTCATTCTATATTTAACATTTTACAAACAACTAATAATTGAAACAAATATTTTTATTTGAGAATTGACATTACTTTAAGATTGTTTTTCTTCTCATTTCAGGACAAGTCAGGCTTCAAGTTCTTTTGTGGAAAAGAGATGAGATTTGTGAAGAGAGAGCATTTTCTTAAAGCAAGTCCTTTTATTATAGCGCCTCTGATCCTTAACTAAAAATATAACATTGTCCTATTCAGTAGGTGGGTTAAATGTGTCAATGTAATCATGACCAATGACTATAATTGGTATGTTCTTTAATCATTTTAGTCAACTTCTTCTTCTTCGAGGTGTTCATTAATTAAATCATTGAATCTAAACCAGGCCTCCCTGTGTGAAGGCTCCTGAGTGAAGCCTAGGTTTTTAAAGAGCTTGTAGGAGGTCTCGTTCTCCTCTTCTATGAAGCAGTACACGGGGTAGCCCTGAGCGTGTAGTCTCTTGGCCATGGTGCTGACCAGGACTTTGGCGTATCCTTTCCCTCTGTGCTCTGGCAGAGTGTACAATAGGCCCATTGCACATGAGGCATAGGTCAGGATCCAGGACACAGGCTTTCCTTCTGCGTCCAGCACACAGCAGGAGGGGAAGTTTGCGAGCATGTTCCGGATCATCCTCACAGCTTCCTTGTTCTTTGCAAACTTCCACATCTGATTCACCAAGCCAACGTGGGACTCATCCAGAGAGCTTAGTGAAATCCCTGGGCTGATGCAGAACAGAGCAGATGGACTTTCAGAGCATCGTTCTTTATTGTTGAAATATTAAACGTAAGATAATGATTTGAATAAACGTCATGGTTAGGCTCTACCTGTCTATAGAGGGAAGGTTGGACACATCCTTAAGTATCATCATGTGACACACTGCCAGTTGGCTGCTGGACACGCCTTTTTCTGATGCTACTGCTTTGAATATCTCCATGTGGTGAAGATTGATTCCTTTTGATATAAGATATGACAATAAAATACTTTAATACATGTGTTACAAAGTAATTGTGTATTCCTTTTGGTTACAGTGACATTTATTTATTGAAATGGCTTTAAAAGATCAGAATATGATATATTTTGAAGACATCACAAAGTTGCTCTATTGATAGAAGTAGAAAATAGCTATGTTTTTTTCTTAATCATCTTGGAATAGAGGTTTTCACTTCCCCTATGAGATGAATCCCTATCATCAAATGGTTTCTCCCTAACCCTTTTCTGTTTTACCTGTGATTGTTTTACAAGCACTTTGCTCTATGGCCATCTGGCTAGATAATCATTTAGGTATTGTAATGACTATGTTACTGATCTTTGCACTTTCTGTGGTATTGGAAAGACATTAACTGCTGGCATGATATGCCTTAAATCGTTGGAGAACTTTGAACACAATAAAACAAAAGACAATACAATTAAAGGTAGGGTAGGTAAGTTTGAGAAACCGGCTCGAGATACACTTTTTGTTATATTCCATGGAATGCTCTTAACATCCCGATAGCAATGAATATCTTAAGTGCTTTGACAAAAAAATCCATAAAAATATGTCATCTGTGGAAGCCGTAATACTAAAAAGCACGACCAATCATTTTAGCCGGTCCGGCTAAAATAACTGGATGGCCTACCTGCCTGTCAGCCTTCCATCTGTGCACAAACTTATCTCGTGCCCTCATTGATCATGTGTGTGTTGGAGGAGGGGCTCTATAAGGAAGTGGCAGATTTTCTCCGGTTGTGTATTTTCAAATTCTAGCGATCTCGAGCCGGTTTCTCAAACTTACCTACCCTACCTTTAAAGCCTTGAAGATGACATTGTAAAATCCGCATTATTCCTTCGGGACTGCAAAGATCAGTGCGTTTACGCTATGATTGTTTTGAGTGATTATAGCGCCACTTTGTAAAAGCAATGACTGACACTGAATGGCTACAGTGTTATTCATTAAAACAAAATAAGTGTTACCAATGCAAATGAACTGGGTCCAGTCCAGAACGTTGGACTTCCTTATGATGTCCTCTAGAATAGCTTCATCAATTGCAAAAACTGGTATGTCTTTGAATAGATCCCCCTTCTGTAAGAAAATAGAGATGTGAGGAATTGCAGTGTATGCAGAAATACAGATACATATATTTAATACATAGGTAAGTACTTACCTGTTCATATTGCGGTTTGCAGACAATGACATTGAACTCTGGCCATCTATCCACAAAAACTCTCACTGGGTCTGATCTGACTCTGTTTCTGAGGACCAAATAACCATACACCTTTAAAATAAAAAGTTGGTTACTTAGTAATCTAAATAATTGTTTGATCAGTTATTAAGGGAGTGGGTCAATTCAACGTTTTGTTCAAGCAAAAAAAATAATGATAGGCAGGCAGTGATCATCGGCTTGCAATAGGCTATGTTATCAGATATGTTCTACAGTAGTTCTGACTGGACACACCTGTTGCGACCGAGGTAAATATCTTTTCAGCTGAGTCTCAGCCATTTTCAGCTGCTCTCCGGTCAGTTCCATGGTCACTTCTAGTAAAGTCTTTCCAGTCAGGAATATCAATGAACCCGTACAGAAGTGCAGTAAACAAACCGTCAGTGTCACTACCCGATCCGTTCACCTGCCCGATCGGTACTGCGCATGTGCGAGATGGTCAACTCCGTACGGCAACTAGGACACTTGACACAGTGGCTTTTGGCAAAGCACACAAAAAAAAACCTCAAAAAACCGAGAGAGATGAGTTATTGTTATTACAACGTGACTTCACTATTATTTAACAACTATTTCTATTGGGTTCTTTTATTTGGGGTTAAGTACATTGTCAGAATAAGTGAGAAATGGATTTAACTTCTGTTAGACAGCTATCATACTGAATAAATATTTATGCAAAAACGTATGGCATAATAATGTATATCTAATTACATTTAAAAATGTATGGCATTAATAATGTATATCTAATTACATTAACTGTGAATGTCTTTCATTTTATTTAAAATGAACAATTACATACAACATTTTCCATAAAAAAGTTGATTCAAGAACAAATCTCTGTTATTAGATCAGTACTTTTCTTATATGACTATTATTGCTAAATTTGAAAGGTCTTTACCAGCTTTGGAATTATATATAAAACAAAGATAAACTAGTTCTTGCTACCTTGGTCTAGTTAAATACTATACTGGACTCGTGAAAAATACTGGAAGACAAGATTTACTTTGAGGAAGGATTGCTCTACTTATTATCGTGTTTACAATAGTTGAGATTGTGCATTGTGATACACCACAAAGGGAAGGGGGTTGTGTCTGTGTTTAGGGTTCCTGCAGTTTTTGAACGGAAAGCACACAAGTTCAGAGGAATAAGCTGTTCCCGTGCTGCTACCATGGACTGGCTGTTACCCACAACCTGCAATATAATTAATCAAGCAAAATTAAAGGATAACAAACTCCAGTTAAATTATTCCATATTAATAAATAATATTACATGCAAATTACATTTCCTGTAGGATGCTGAACCCACCTCTCCCCTCTGCCCCCATTGGACCTGGATCTTAACAACCCCCCCCCCCCCCCCACACACACACACACACACACACACACACACACACACACACACACACACACATAATATATTTATTGTTGTGCCTTTTTATTTGCTCGTATTATGATGGGATATGGTTTAATTTAGTAAATGGTTGTGCGTTGTGTGTGAAAAATGTGTATCTCTAAAAAGTGTGTTGGTGTATGATCACATTTGTATATGAAAATGTCTGAAGTTAATAAATACATTCTCAGTGTTCAAGTCAATCACTGACGATGCTTACGATATCATAAAATCTAAGTGTTAATGATTGTCAGTAGAGATGGGATGGCAGAAGGTGCTATATATATATATATAATTCCAAAGCTGGTAAAGACCTTTCAAATTTAGCAATAATAGTCATATAAGAAAAGTACTGATCTAATAACAGAGATTTATTCTTGAATCAACTTTTTTATGGAAAATGTTGTATGTAATTGTTCATTTTAAATAAAATGAAAGACATTCACAGTTAATGTAATTAGATATACATTATTAATGCCATACATTTTTTAATGTAATTAGATATACATTATTAATGCCATACGTTTTTGCATAAATATTTATTCAGTATGATAGCTGTCTAACAGAAGTTAAATCCATTTCTCACTTATTCTGACAATGTACTTAACCCCAAATAAAAGAACCCAATAGAAATAGTTGTTAAATAATAGTGAAGTCACGTTGTAATAACAATAACTCATCTCTCTCGGTTTTTTGAGTTTTTTTGTGTGCTTTGCCAAAAGCCACTGTGTCAAGTGTCCTAGTTGGGTTGCCGTACGGAGTTGTCCAATATGGCGGACCATCTCGCACATGCGCAGTACCGATCGGGCAGGTGAACGGATCGGGTAGTGACAGTCAGTACCATGTATTCGCCCTACCCTATTATACATCCATGGCCCTACCATATGTGTTCGGGGTCCGTCGCTTACCAATGACGTCACGCATTGTGATTGGCTGTACGGTAATGGAAGTGTGTCGAGCGTGCCAGTAAAAAGCAAAGCTAAAGTTGGCTTCCGAGCATACACGTTCTTATTATACATCCATGGCATACACTGGATATCCGAGTCGCACTTTCGACACGTGACTAAAAAAGGTAGTACAAATCTTGTTCATGTGACGTGACAGATCTGTTTTACTTATGTCCTATATTGCTATTCGTTTGACATTACTGTTTCATAATTTCACCTTATACAATTTATGAGTTAATGTTTAATATCCGACTTCAGTGTTGTAGCTAGAAAATGTTGGGGTAATTTAAATACTGCATTTACTGATGAGCATCTTAATCTAAAATGATACATCATCATTTATTAGGTGATATATATTTCGTAAAAAAATATAAATCTGCATACAAATGTTGAGTCAAAAGTAATAAATTGGCCTGCAAAATGGTTGAGTTATAGTATTCAATAGCATATAATGTGAATACTCATGTAAAGTACAAGTACTGCAAATGTGTAGTTAAGTACAGTACTTGTGTACATTTACTAAGTTACTTTTATAGCACTGATGTTCAGTGTATTATTTAATATGTTTGTAGACCATCACCAATAAATCTGTCTAGTATAACTAGACTGATACAACAAAGATGTTTTAAGCTTGTTTCAGAAGTGTGAATATTTGTTTTATTGTATTGAAAAAAACTTCTGGACTGACCTGTCAGTGGGAAGCTGCTGAAGCTTTGATGCAGGTAGTTTGAAAAGAAGAACATACTTTTTAACAAAACATGACTACAACACGTATGCATGACATGTCTTTATTTAGGGGAACCATTGTTACCAAACAGGTTTTGATGCATTGTTTTGGAGAGCCTTTAACATTTGTAAAATGAATAGTTTGCTCCCATATTCATTCACTGAGAAAAACAATGTTTACCTGATATTATGTCAGCTATAAACTCGATCACAATGAGTACAAAATCAAAAGTTGAATTCCAACCATGCCGCCCTGTAAGAGGGTTCCTCAATGAAACCCAGATTTTTAAAGAGCTTGTAGGAGGTGTCATTCTCCTCCTCTATGAAGCAGTACACCGGATAGCCCTGAGAGTGGAGTCTCTTGGCCATGGTGCTGACCAGGACTTTGCCGTAGCCTTTCCCTCTGTGCTCTGGCAGAGTGTACAATAAGCCCAATGCACAGTAATCATACACCAGGATCCAGGACAGCGGCTGACCCTGGCCGTCAGTGATGCAGCATGATGGGAAGTTGCTGATGAGGTTTTCAATGTTCCTGTAACCCTGCTTATTCCCTCCAAACTTCCAGGTTGTATTCACCAAGTCAACATGGGAAAGGTTAAGAGATGAAATCCTTGATTCAAGCTCACTGCAGAGAAACAGATTATGATAACCGTCATCTTCAACATTATTTTGCTTTTTACAGATATGAGTGAAATGTGCACACATATCCTTAAAAGTACATTGTAATGATCTGACTGTACCTGTCAGCTGCTGGTTTGAGCAGATGGGTGCTGTCTGGCAAATACAGAAGGCGCACTGCAGTATAGCATCGGTTGTTGATTCCTCTGTGAGAAGACACTTCTTTGAGGATGGGGGCATGAGAAATGTCAAATCCTGCAGGACAAAGAGTAATCACATGTTTACACCATCCTGACATTTTTCTTTGCAAGAGTTTCACCATTAGTAAATTATGTAGTTTATCACCCCTTCGACTCAGGACAAAATGTAAAACCCCATTGTAAAATTACTTAATTACAGTTGTAAGGATTGCAATCAAAATGAAGGTTGTAAGGATCATATAAGTGATGTTTTAACGTCTAACAACCGTGTTACTGTTACGGTTGTTACGGCCTAGATGGAGTTCAAGTAAACTGTTTGGTAGTTTCATAATAATGTATATTAACTGTTGTCATACTGTACGTTTCCTGGGTAAAATTGTTTTCATAAAGTTGTAACTAGTATAATAGTATTTAGATATATGTTGAAGTACTCTCCTCTCAAGAAAAGCCCTGCATTCAACATTTTTCTCAAGTATTGTCATCAAAATATACATAATTTACCGAAATTAAAAGTTCTCACCATGCAGAATGGCCCATTTCATAATAATATACATTATATTACGGTCACGTGGAGGTAATATAATAATAATATAGTCACATAATATTTTAGAGTTCAAAGTAGGCTACATATGTATAAAAATGTGGACTGAGAAAATATGGTTCCTTCACAAACTGCAAATAAAACATGTCAAATATAGTGAAATAAAATGTACAAATATAGGCTAACTTTGCATTGTAGTATTGCTAAAAGCCATAAGTGACCAGTGAAATATTACGGTTACCTACGTAGGCCTAAAGTATTTGGTTTAATGAAGGGTTACTTACCTGTAGTTACATTACACCAATAACATAAACCTGCACTACCTGTGGAATGATAAGCACTGATATAAACTCACCTCCAATAAGAAAATAAGTGCTCCAGTCAATTGCATTTTCTTCTGTCAGCACTTTTCTTAAAATCTGGTCATCCATGCTGTAGTACGTGACTTTTTTCATGAACTCCAGAGCGCGCTTGTTCTGTGAAGTAAACACTAGATTTAGATTAGATTAGATTAGATTTAGAAATATATTAGAAAATAGATTAGATTTAGAAATAATGTCAATAAAGTCCACAACGTATCCAATTCTCCAATGGGATTTGAACTCACCTTTGGGTCGGGTCTACAAATGATGATGTTAAAATTAGGCCATGTATCAACGATTACCTCCAGTGTGCTTGGTTTATTCCTGTTTATGCCATAGAGGAAACCGTATACCTGAAAACAAGAGTCGTTTAGAGCAACAATAACCTATATTAGGATGAAAGACACTGCGAGTACGCTGACATATTGGCTGGTGTCGTATAGCCTACCTTTAAACTCCTGGGTAAGTGCTTCAGGAGAACTCCTTCTGCAACCTTTAGTTCGTCTTTGTTCAGGACCTTCATGCTTCGGGAGTGAAGATTCTTTAATAATGCAGTTTCCCTGAGTATCGGTTTAACTGTTCACTTACAATAAAAATGGTCTCAGCATTAGTAAATCATTCATTTTACAGTCGGTCCTGTCTGTGTTCAGTATGTGGTTGTCACTCATACCCGACGGGCGTGTCTATACCATAGACTGTATATATAAAGGTCTATACTTAAACAGAAAAATACTTCATGTCCGAAAATAAAAGCTTTTGTTTTTATCCCATTTTGAGTCATCCCATTTGGGCAATTATTTAAGAAGAGATGATTCAAAATAAATAAAGCTGAAACATTGATGGCTAATAAGTTACCAACTGCTAAAGTTCAAACATCCGCTATCAATTTTCAAAATAAAAGCCCAACTAGGGACAAGAGTTTAGAACTGGTAAAACACTCTAGTTTCATGCTCTGTATTCGAATAAAAAAAAAAAATAGAAAAATTAGTTGGATGTTTTTACGGAGGTGATTGAAAAAAATTAATTGATCTGCAGAGGCAGAAATGTTTTTTTGTTTTTTTTAAACTTCTCATCTTAAATAACACTTTTATCTTATTGGCCACGTCAGTTAATGTATGCTAAAGAATCACAACAAAACATGTTTCTATAAAATTATTTAATATCAATCTGAGACCTGGATAGCAAAAGTCTAATATTGATTTACATTCACCACATGAACACATTGATGTAGGTTGACAAGATGCTTTATTTTCATTTCAAAACAGCATGTTTTAATAGCCTAATCAACAGTTCAGTTAATAATTATTTGGTATTTGCTAGGTTAAGTGATTATGCAGTACAAAGTGGCTTTTCTAAAATTAATGTAAATGTCAAACATTGCAATACTGTATAGGAAAGGTCAACAGGTATTGATTTTAGCATAAAGTATAGTAGCTTAGGCAGAAAATGGAAATGTTACTACTTTTCTGGTTTATCTAACCAAAAACATATTGTTCTGATTAAGGGATATTCTGCAAACAATTCCAGCACTGGAGATTTTCCACGTAGTTCTCTTTCTAGCATTTCTGCCCGAGCATCTTGGTCTCATTACGCCATGGGACGACCAGCACTGTGAATTCGCACTGGTAGGGCTGAAAAAGAAAAAAAGTGACATCATATATATATATATATATATATTTTTATAGCATTGTAGCACAGAATATAGCATTGCAACTTTGAGATTAGATCAAAGTCAAAGATCAACATAGCATAACTTGCAAACCATATCATCCCCCATTCCCCATGTTCAAAGATCCTGATTATTTAAGAATCAGATTTAATTTAAAGGACACCTATCATGCTATATTTAAATGATATATTGTAGGGCCATACCTATACAAGGTATATTTATAAGTTTCTGTTTTCAAAATACCAAACAGATCATGCATTTTAGCCATGCCTCATTTTGCTCGGTGCTGTTCTCCAGCCCTGTTTTTGCAGGGGGCTGATTCTGTGAGCTGCAGCTGACCACGCCCCCCTGCAGGAGAGGGGAGCCGCTCTGATCAAGTCAGAAGAGGGGGAGAAAAATAGATCTCCGTCCTCCGTGTTTTATTATAGCCTATTATTATATAGAGTCGTTATTCAGAATAAACAGAAGGGTAACCATGGTAACCATGCGCGGGAAGTCTTCTTCGCTGCTTTTGTGGCAGGCTACAGCGCCACTTACAGGCCTGGCATATGTACTACAGCGTCTCCAGCGCTTTCGAGCGGCAATGGCCGGCCGTGGCCCAACCCCACATTCCCCTGATAGGTGGAGAGTTGGCCCAATAGCCGTAGCGCCACCGTCCTGACGTCAGGACAGTGTTCAAATCTGGATCAGTTTTGATCAGATCTGTTGCAGCCCCTTTTTTAGAGATTTGGGTATGGAGGAAAATAGAGAGGGTTGTGTTTTCTGACACTTGGTGAGTTCCCTGGAACACCGGGGACACATATTCATGTATAAAAGACGTACAAAAGTGCATTTTGCATGATAGGTCCCCTTTAAGTAATCAAATATTTTCCTCTTTCAATGGACCTCTTTCATTTGTAATAGGCAAATGTAGAATTATTCGTTAAGCTTAGTCATCTAGTTAAAATGGAGGAGGCAGTTCTCCTCCCTGACTTCTCTTTGCAGACAGCAACAAACAAAACCCGATGACTCATATAGGGGAAGTAACAAATTATGTCACAATCTGATAGTTTGTGGTCTATTGTTGAGGATAGCAATACAAGTCTACTGTATGGAATTTAAACATTACGTCTAAAAGCTTCCAATTAATAAATACAATTGGGGTTTATTTCTTCATGAAGCTGAGATTGGAGCCTCTTAATAAACTCCTTACCAGAGCCTGTGTTGGGTCTTGGTGGATGGCACACACTTCGTTTGCAGTGCCCTTTCTGCAGGGGGTCTTCCCCATTCTCACGGTTATGACGTATTTCAAACCAGCAACCAACTGTAAGAAGAACTGGTTGTTAGAAAAACAAATCATTGAAATCCTTTATGATAAAGCCCTTTAGCAATGCAGAATCAAGGCAAAACTGTCAGCTATTACATCCCACCAAAGTTTAAAAGATCACAACAATTATCATGATCAGATTCTTAATGTCTCATTTATGCATTTTTAAAAGCTTGGGTGGTCTTCCATGACATCTTATAGTGACAAACATTCAGACTTCATATACCAGGGTTTGATTGGATTAGGGTGTCTGTGCTCAAAGGGCCAACATGTTGTTTGAGTCCACATCAGTTAAATAATACTTAAGTTACATCTGGAGTAACATTCAGTAACTACCCTACAGTATACTAACTTTTCTCTAAAAACTAGCTGCACCTTTACCAGCTTTGATAAACACATTAATGCATCATTAATTATAATCAAATCGGTTACTTTTACTTAAGTACAAGATCTGAGTACTTCTCCCCCCTCTGCTGTTGTATGTGCCTTTATGTGGATAAGGAGTGACAAGGAAACATTTAGCCTGATGGGCGCAGGCGTAAAAGCAGGCCCACGACAACGGTTGCATATAAACAAAGTATCTTGATTTTACCATGTCTGTAAAGTCAAATCTTGAGACATTCAAAAGCCCAGCTTAAAGGTTACTAACCTGTCTCTTCATCCCCACCACTTCTGCCACCTGGCTGAGGAACATGCTGTTGGATTGCTTGTTGTGTTCGACGACAGCGAAGTTGAGGGCATTTTGAGCCCCTTCGTCATTGACATCTATGTTTGTATACCCCCCCATCATTTGTGATGATGAGCCGACGGCAAAAGCCACCGCAAGAACAAGGAGGACAATCTTCCACATCATGTCTCTTACTGTCTTACCGTAACAAGCAATACCACAACACAACAGCTCGACGTCTCGCCTCCGTTTTATATAAACAACAAGGCAACGGCTGTTTTGTTCACGGGGATTGACACCTCTCGCAGCCAATCATCAACCTCTGCAACACAAACCCCTCCCTCTTGGTTTTCATTTTATCCAGTCGCGAATGTGCTCGATTTGTTCATCGCCGACTCCCGTAGTGGCTTACCACTACCACTTGAACACATTCCCACATTATCTGAAGGGAAAACTTAAGAGGAGGCAACCAAGGTATGTTGAAACGCATGTGGTTTGGATTTTGGCTTGCTTTGCACAAAATTCGATGAGCGGTGCGGAAAATGAAACTTTTTACCTCTGCCCTACAAGTGCAGGCTAGAAAAAACTCACCTTTGGAACTGCGCAATGGAAAGACTCCAGGTTCTTAAGTAAGTAGGATAAGCGACTAATTCCCCAATTTGCTAAATATGTATACCTATTATATATCTGTAATATATTTATACTTATTCTACAGCTGTGATTATCTCCAATGTGTTTGTTTCCTTATTTTCCCACATTCTGCAGGGGAACATTCTGCAGTTTGGATGCCTTCCAAAAGCAACTCCTAATAGGCTCAGCAGTGGCAGCTGGGGGCATACTGGCATACATGGTGCAGAAGAGAAGACAAGTCAAAAGTATCCCCCTTGGTGAAGGATGGTGGGGAGCAGGAGAGAAGCCACTGTCAGAGGATGATCAAATATATCCCTTCAAAGTGCAAACCTCAGATGAAGAGATAGAGGTCCTTTTGAGCTCTTAACAAACTGTTTAATCATTAATAATCATATTTAAAGTAGCATTCAGACATGTTTTTGACAAGTAATCAACAGTGCTCTTACTCAACAGGACCTTCATGAGCGCATTGACAGAACCCGCTATGCTGATCCTTTGGAAGATAGCTGCTTCCAGTATGGATTCAACTCCACACATCTCAAGAAAGTGGTTTCCTATTGGAGACACACATTTGACTGGAAAAAGCAGGTGGAGGTGCTTAACAAGTATCCACACTTCAAAACCAAAATAGAAGGTACACACGCTATATAAACAGGTTTTGCTTTCGAGTAATATTTTTAAAGAATCATTCCACACACTATTTACTTTCTTTAAGCACCAATGCTTTTGCTTTGATGCAGGATTGGATGTGCACTTCATTCACGTGCGACCACCACACCGTGACAACCAGAAGGTTCTGCCTCTTATGCTCGTTCACGGTTGGCCTGGCTCCTTCTATGAGTTCTACAGAATTCTGCCACTTCTCACAGAGAACCAGGATGGTGTTGTGTTTGAGGTCATCTGTCCATCTATCCCTGGCTACGCTTTCTCAGAAGCCTCCCACAAACAAGGTAGAGGATTCTAAGTAATGTATGTATTTCTGCTAGAGCAGCAGATTAACAGATGTGTTTTTTTTGTATCTTTTCAGGATTTAACAGTCTCGCTGCTGCCCGAATTTTCCTGACACTGATGGAGCGTTTAGGATTCTCCCAGTTCTATCTGCAGGGTGGAGACTGGGGCTCTCTCATCACCACCAACATGTCACAGATGAAACCGCAGTAAGACAGAAAAACAAGCCATAACATGCCTCAAGTTGTATCACTTCAGTGGAATTTGCCACACCCACTGGTTTATTTAAGGGAGCAATGTGAGATTCTTACAGAAATGTGAAACAGTGTTTGCTGTGTGCAAAGTTCATAATCGACCAAAACTACTTGCTCGACAAATTCCTGTAGGCTGGAGAAAGGTCAAAAGAAAAAACATGATCAAAACTAGCATTTCTAGCTAAAATGTGTAACTTAATACAGATTCAAATCCTGTTAGACATTAACTGTAATTTATATTTTTTTGTAATCTTTTCCAGATGCGTGAAAGGTCTGCACTTAAACATGTATATGTCAAACAAAGGGTTCAAAGTGATGCTTTCCCTCATTATTGGACCTTATCTGCCCTTCCTGGTGGGCTTGAGTCGGGAAGATGTTCGCCGGTTGTTCCCTTTCTTTGAGAAGAATGTCTGGGAAATCCTAAAGGAAACCGGCTACTTACACATCCAGGCCACTAAACCAGACACTGCAGGTGGGGACACATTCTGATGATCATATTGACACTGCTGACAGGTCAAAGACAAACCACCGTTGCTAGTATTTTTATTATCTCAGTTGACTATTTATTAAGCGCTTTAAGTGAAAGTTCAGATTTTTTAGGTGGTGTTGTATGAAGTATTTATCCATATTCAGTTTCGAGAAAAAGAGAGGGCAAAAGTCATCAATCCACAGGGAACTGAAGCCTTTACTGTCTATGCTTCCATTAAAGCAACTATACTCCATTTGCAAAAACAGTCATTGTGACCTGACCTGATGAATCCAAACGAATCATTTAACACATCAGTCACACAGTATCACAAACTAACCGATTGTGGCAGCGGTAGACCAGCAACTTCAGTGTTCTATAAGGTAAAATAAGGTTTATTTGACAAAGGAGTATTTTTAGGAGGATAAAATAGATTTTGCTGATGATCCCAGCCCCAGCAGAACAATGCTTAACATCTGTATACACTAACTCTGGATATGTACCTCATATTACTCTAATTTGAAACATCCAAACTATCTCTTCAATATCTTATTTTGTGGTTACAGGCTGTGGAGCCAATGACTCTCCTGTAGGCTTGGCGGCCTACATCCTGGAGAAGTTCTCCACCTGGACTGATAATAGGAACAGAGATCTAGAGGATGGTGGGCTGGAGAGGTACAAGACAAAATTCAGTTTTGCCTTTTTAGGCATATATAAATATATTGTATGATAGATTCAACAAAGATTATTGGATTGTTGCTGGCTGTTTGTTAAATAATGTCTGCATCCATACAGGAAATTCAGCCTGGATGACCTCCTGACAAACGTGATGATCTACTGGACCACAGGCTCCATCGTCTCCTCCATGCGCTTCTACAAAGAGAACTTCAAGGGAAATCCAGACAACAGAGTGGATGCAAAGTATGTGGTTAGATGCTCCTATTATCCAAACTGTCATTTGTTTTACAAATTAGACAACCTTATAATCACACCATGTCATACCTCTGATTCGATTTTCCTCTTGTGTTTTAGGACAGGAATATTTGTACCCACTGGACTTGCCGCCTTCCCCAACGAGCTGTTGCACTGCCCCAAGTCTTGGGCACAGATTAGGTATCGAAACATCCAGTCGTACAATTACATGCCACGAGGCGGTCACTTTGCTGCCTTTGAGGAGCCCCAGCTGCTAGCCAACGACTTTGTCCAGTTTGTGAAAAAAGTGGAGAAGTTCTGACCGTGTTAATGCAGTTACACACCAACGTAATTATGGTACATCTGTTCATTATTAATGCTGTTATTCGATTTTGTTTACTCATTCCAAATGAGATATGAATGCACTTCATCTTTACTAAGATTATTTCCACACTACAATGCACCTCATTCCTTGATTGTGTTAAGAAATGTCAGCATTGTTTAAATCGTTTTCACGTTTTAATAAAATGTAAACATATACACAGATGATACTGGCACTTGAATATATCTAAAGATAAGATTAAAGCAATTAAAATGATTAAAACAATAGACACTTCAAGTTCTCGCTCTTTAAAAATGTGTTGCACCATTAATGTGTTGTTTTATGTTTGATGTCCAATTAGCAAGTGTTTTCTGCAAAACATTCTTCAGAAATATAAACAATACACAATGTGCTCAAACAGATTATGCCAACAAAGGTTCCTAAGAACAAATTATCTCAGTATTTCATAAGAGGATAAAAGAGGATAATACACCTCACTGCCGGCGTCAATAAACACACTTTTGTTTTTAAGTGTCAAGTAGAAAACATGTTACTCATAATTCATTAAAATACGGACAGGTCAGTTAAAAATTCAAGTTTTTAATTCCTTTGAACCACCAATACAATTAAATTGTAGGAAACCGGCTCCAAAAAGAGAGCCGCATCTCAGACTATGTGCTTCCCAACTCCTGATGTCACTTGCCGAAGCCCTTGATGGTCATGGGTGCCTGAAACCACACATAATCCTCCCAGTCGGACCCCTGGGCCATTGGTTCCTTGCAGGTGCTGGGATCAGTAGACAGAGCGATAATTTGGTTCTTTACACGGGTTGGCACTTTAAATTGTAGTTTAGGGCGGAACCACCCTACGCCGCAGTCCCTGTGGGCCAGTACCAAGACGGTGGTGGGAATCAAACGAACAGGTTTGGTGTCCGACAAAAGGTCGGCCACAAACAGAGTCCGGAAGAGTTGCCTTAAGCATGCGGACACCCGTAAACTTTTGTCTCCACCAGCCAATACCAGGGCCTCCATGTTGATCTCATACAGCTCTTTGGGGAGGGTGAGGGAGCCACCCATCAGCAGCAGCACACGGGGCACCCTGCTGAGGGAGAAGAGCACCTCCAGCTGCTGCAGCACCTCCTCCAGCTCCTGAAGGGTCTGCTGACACTTGCGCCAGCTCACGTCTGCAGACTGCCCCGGCCTCCGAGCTACTATGTCTTCATCCTGAAAAGCAAAACATTAAATAAACTGTTTAAGTTCATCTCAAATCCACATAATTTCTTAATTTTTTAACATTTGCGCAAAATGCCACCATGTATGGCTGCCATGTCTCAAGATCCTATCCAACTATGCATTTGTATTAATCACTTACATAAGTTTATAGCAAATACATCTGATTATGTTCAACATACTTATATATAAGTACAATATACAGTATTTCATTTTGTATTCTGTCTGATCTCACCCTAGTTTACCTGTATATCATTTACCTAATTCTGCATTTTACTTGCACCATTATATGATTTGCACTATTTTTTACTTTCATTATTTTATGGTATAATATATGTTGCATTGTTGGAGGAGCTTGGGATTTAGGATTTTCTCGCTGTAGCTGCATATGACAATAAAGCCTTTGAATCTTGAAGGTGCAGACGTGTTCCTAATTCACCTGCATGGAGGCTTGCTGTTTCTTCTGGGAGTACACCAGCTGGTCATATGTCATGGGCAGTTGCTGTCTCTGATAGAGGATGCACTTGAGGATCTCACTGACGAAGCGGCAGCAGCCTTCCTGAGTCACAGTTCCAGGGAAAACCACGTTCACACAGCCATTGTCCTGCGCTCGTCTCATCACCTCCATATCACTGTCCTCTGAGTTACTGAGCTGTTGACAGGCAGTCACACTGCTCTGACCAGAAATGTCCTCTTCTTGGTTGTTATCTGTCCAAATAAGAACCAGAATAATGTCATTAGGGTGAGCAACAGACCATTCCTGCCCAATTTCAGCTGGTTAAAGTCAATTCAATTTAGCAAGGCCAGTATTCCTATAAAACCATTGTCCACATTTCCACTTAACATACCACTGTCTGCCAGCAGTGGAATAATTATTTAGATACTCGTAGGCAACAATAGCAATTGTCAGTCAAATCAGTTATCAGTTAAAGTCCTGCTTTTCAAGTATTGCTAAATGATAAATGTATACAGTTTATGTTTGTATAAGTCATGTTAAACTTCTGGATTAAAATGATTAATGCCTCAATGTGAAAGCAGCATTTTAGTGCAGCTGGTCAGCATAGGGCCATTTTTTCTGAATACTGCAGGATACTATTATCTTTGTTGACGTTACTGTTCTGTAAGCAAACATTTGCAAAATATGTGTCTGTAAAGTTAGAGTATCAAGTCAAGTCAAAGTCAACTTTATTGTCAATCTTTCAGTTTGTGTGTACAGACAGAGATCGAAATACCGTTTCCCACAATCCCGAAAACAATAACAAAGATATATAAAAAGATGTATAAAACTCTGTATACATATATATATATATATATATATATATCAACAGACACATGTATACATATGCACACATTAAGACATAAATAAAAGCACAACAATCAATATATACAAAATAACAGTCACTCCAATAACTTATCGCCTTGAATGTTCGAGTTTCCAAGAAAAACTAAAGGTCATCTTCATATACAATGACTATTATTTAAAAAACAGAAAGGAGATACAACTAATAACAGTTGGACACTAGGATCAGATGATTTCACCCTTTACTTCAAACTATTAATCGTTTCAACATAATTGAATATATGTTCCAGCTGTATCCTATTGGTGATAAATAACTGTAATGGAGTAGTAAACATTTATTAAAATATCGGAAGTACCTCAAAACTGAATCTCAGTTCAGTACTAGTTTATTATTATTATTACTAAGTTGAACATAGAAAAACTAAATAGAAAATAGAAAAACTAAGTTGAAAATTGAATGTCTGTCTTGAATATGCAGTATTTTGATAATGTCAAATGTTATTGAGACATACGGTATCCAACTTAAATTAGAGAACAGGATAACTCTAAACAACCTGAATTTGACCCCGACTATCAAAATGAAATGCAGTGTTTTTACAATGCAGCTTCACACTCATGTCCCATGGATGTGACTCACCGGGCAGGCTGGGTGTGGACGGTAAAGCGGCGTTTTCCATGTCCTCTGAGTTGTTTACGCTCTGCTGTTTTGAATTAAGTCGATGGTTAGGGGAGGCATCTTTTAATTCCATTTCATTATTCGCGTTAGAACATGTGTTTACGGCTAGTGTAGAAAGTTGTTGGGCTACTTCCGCAGACGGTGCGCATGAATTTGTGTCGTCGGGAACACTTTGTAACGTTATGACTTCTTTACATGTCATGTTTGGTTCCTCCGTTGTAATAACATATTTTTCCGAAGAAAACGACAGGCGCCTCGCTATCACGTTATCTTCGCTGTTAATAGTAGACGGGATTTCCATGTCTTCAGAGTTTAATGTCAGTTTAAATATATTCGATACTCCTGCCATAGTTTTGAATGTCCCCGCCGTGTGTTTCTCACAATGCATCATGGGAAACGTGGATCGACGACGATGCTGTGTTCAAGTTACAAAGAAAGAATCGAAAAAAACAGATTCCCTTTGAAAATACAGTTGGTCCCCCTAAAACGTGCTAACAAATACATACAAATTCGTACATTTAAGACTGTATATTTAAAGGTTCATTCTTGTGAGGCGTGGACGCTGTTTTTACAGGTGAATCGTGTTTTTTAATGCTTGCTTTTTGGAACATCCCGGACAAATACAATTATTTTATATGGGAAGTTGAATTAAGCATTTTAATTGTGTAATCTTTAACATTCAAATCGAATTTAACGTCGATGTTCAACGCTTATACATTGCTTCATTAACATAATATGGAGTTAAAACCTAGCATCTGATGTGTGTAGAGCTCTGTGTTGTTGTTGTTACAATACAGCCTGCCCATTTTTTTCAACTTTGAAAAATTGAAACCGTACTAAACCGTACTAAGTTCTGCAGTGGAAAAGCCCATAAGGTAGTGTATCGAGAAAGTGAGCACAGGCACGGTGAGGTAATTAGGTGCATTCATGCTCACGGCGATTCCTTCACACTGAAGGCCAACTTCTCTTTGGAGAGGACTGGCTGAAAGAACTGGCCATTTGAGGTGTTCTGTTGGAGTCCGAGTTCGTCCATTGAACAAAAGGTAATTAAAAAAACTGCTTATATTTTCTCCTTGATAAACTCTAGTGCCATTCACATTCACTTTTCCACAGAGAAAAGCAGTTATCATCCAAGGTGATAGTTCACATGAAGGGAAACTCCACATTTATTTACAAGGTAGGCCTAAATATAAAAAATACTCTTCGTTGTACTGCAATTGATAACGTTTTTATTTTAAAAATGTTGTGTATTTGAATTTGTAGCCTTCACTTAATCGAGGGGACGAGTCGAAGGAATAAGTGAAGACTTTTATATATGATTTCTCATATGATTCATCCGACAGAGGAAAACCCACATCCCAGGAAAAGGTTTATTTATTCTTTATCAGTTTCAACAATTTGAATTATTAGTACTGTATTGTTGGCCAATTAAGTGATATTTTAACTTTTTTTCTGCTGCATCAGATTTTTCATGACTTGGGGTCTGATGTCCTGAAAGCTGCATTTGAGGGTTTCAACCTTTATATAGTCTATGGTTTCAACGCCTGTGTGTTTGCCTATCGCCAAACAGGCTCAGGAAAATCCTACACCATGATGGGTCACGCAGTAAGGCCTTCTCTCAGCTTTCTCAGCACTCTTACCAAGGTTAATGTGTCATTTAAAAAAAAATGTATCTTGAAAGGTAGCTATCCTACAAACATTCATAGCTTTCCAAGTTGCATCTCAAATGTGCCCTTTTTAAATTAGACCCTCAATCTTCAGGGACACCCAGGATGTCACCAAATTCACTGCAGAGCTTACGTTGCAGAATACTCTAGCACCCGGTGGGCTCATAGCACTGACTCCTCAACACATTAGAAAGTGATGGCAGTCTCATCAGACGTCCCTCCCAGTCTCTCCATTTATCTCCATGTTTCTCCCCACTAATCAGAAAATGTGATGAGGGCAGCATACCACGGCTTTTCTCTCCTCACCTTGCAAGGCAATGGACATTTCACATAACAAATTAGCTTTCTGCTTGTCTACCAGGAGACTTGTGCAAGGTCATCAGCAAAGCTGCTGTCAACATCCCAGATAATTATATATGGCTCTTAATGCTTTCTATCTGTTACTTTGTAATTAAAACAAGAGGGCATGCAGCTCAGAGTGGAATTGCTTTTATGCTTCAGTAACTCCATATCAGATGATCTGTTGTTCAGCACTCTTTGCATGTGCGGAGTTGAGGTCAGGTAATGGCAAAGACACACCTACATTTAGAAAACACAACAGGAGCAAAATGAAATTGTAATTTTAAACAACACTGTTACACTAATGTTTTCTAAAAAGAAAAAACCTCTAACAACATTTTTTTTTTTATGTCCCAGAACGACAAAGGTTTAAGCCCACAGATCTGTGAGGGCTTGTTCAGTGAGATATCTCGTAGAGCCAAGAGTGATGCCGTGTCCTTCCGTACAGAGGTCAACATCATGCATTTATATACTTCTTATCTACTTCTGCACTTTAGTCATTAAACATCAAACCTTCAAAAAGACTTCAGGAGAGTATTTTACCCATTCAATATTAGAGACTGGCAGCAGGGGTTGGGCATGTGCATTCTTTGGTACTTAGCATGTAGAGTTGGCAAGAAAAATTGGTTAATGGAAGTGAATTCGAAGCTATGTTCATTTTCTGATCATCAAAATGATAAACTTGAAGATGTAACTGCAGATCTTTAAATGTAAGGGTTAAGAAACTGCTACTGCAAGCCTTTTTCAGCACCACTACAACTCTTTTGCTCATCATTTATGAAATACAAAAAAATCAGAAAGCAAAAGCAAACATCATGTAGAAAAGCATGTCAGCTTGTCTTGTCTGCCCTCCACACAAAAAACATGTGGGATCAGAGTTCAATTGGCTTTCTTTGATGCCATTTGAGAGTACACAAGTTAAAACATTTATCTTGTTATGAAAAATGTGAAGAGGTAATGTTGTGTTGGATATAGACATGTCAATATTGCAATTTCAATACAAAAGTAAGGCCTACCTTTGTTCGTTATGCTCTATGATGCAATTGGGGAAATGGCCAGTAAACAAAGAAAAAGCAGAATCAGATACTTGTCTTTTTTTCATTATTTCAAAATTAAACTGCAGTGCATTTAATGTGTGCCCACCCAAAAATGAGTACACACATGTAGATTACAATTGTGCTCCTTCCAGCTGATACCGACAGTAAAACGAGAGAATTAAGTGAAACATATCTAAAAGATAGGTCCTTTTCTAGGTAACGAGCTGTTTTTCCCTGTTGTTGTTCTTGTTGTTGTCGGTGGAATGATCTAAATATCATATGATGGTGAAGCAGGTAAAGACATTAACTTCACTTCAGAAAATGACTCGACCAAACTATAATGCAGACCATTTGTCATAAAAGACAACATTAAGGTTTTATTACAATAATCTAAGTCCCAGATAATAAACAGACTCATCGCAATATCCGTTTCATTATTAAATGTCCCAGCTCTGCTTCTAAATGATTATATTGGGAGATAATTTGAGGATTTTTAGCCCATCAAGCTACTGCGAAAGTATTATTTTTGCCATTTGGTATCATGTGTGCTGCTGGCACATTATCTGGGTTTTATTCATCTGTAGAATTGTTTTTAACTGTCTGGCTTTGCCAAGCCTTGCCTGAGAAATGTTGAATAGTTTGAAAAGTATTGTTTGATTTCATCTTACAGCTGATATGTTTGTAGTTTATTTTCTTTTTTGGTTTATACCCAGCAGAAATGTGAGTTACACATTACTTTCCAAATAATAATAATCACCTGTATCTTGCAGATAAGATTAAAAACACAGATGTTATTTGAATGTTTGGTTTTAGTAGACAGGATATGGTAATTATTAAAATTGCTTTTTTATACCCGATTCACATATAGTGTATTTAGTGACTGTTTCATTATATGGCTTTACTTATTATTTGATCATTTACATCCTCCATAGGGCTACACATTATCAACCATTTGGTGCATGATATTATTATGATTGTATGCTATTTAAAGCATTAAACTAATACGAATATTGTGATAGGATGTGTGTGATCTCATGGCATAAAGCTGTTTCAGAATAGAGTGCCATCGCTCTGTCAGTGTCACGCTTTCATGAAGCCTAATTGCTCCATGCCTTCAATTGTTTTTGAGTCAGCCACTCAGAATAGTCCTTTTGCTTCTTGCACACACCCAGTATTGATTGAAGTGCTCTGCCGAAACATACTTTGCATAATGTTTGTTTATTCATTGCCATTGCAAGGAGAGCAATGCATGCACAACAATTTGTCTTTAAAGCTATTGTGCATCTCTTTATAGAGACAAGAAAAATAGCAATTTGTTTTGTTCTCCTTTTGGTGCTTTGCCATCAATAATAGCACTGTAAACCTTCATTAATCTGTGGCCTTGTGTACAATCTCGTAGATTGTATTTGGTTTTGTGTTTTCTGTCTTGGCACCAGTTATTTGGAGATCTATAATGAATGTGTGCAGGACCTTCTCATCAAGAAAACTATACCAACATATGGAGGCTTGAGAGTGAGAGAGCACCCCAGGGATGGACCCTATGTAGAGAGTATGTTTTATTTGCCACCTTATGTCTATGTCTTCTTGTAGAAACTTCAGGAAAATCTAATGCAGATTACAACTTGTTTGTAGATCTGTCCCAGCACTTGGTTCACAATCACAATGACATGGAGGACCTGATAAATCTCGGCAATGCCAACCGCTCCACAGCCAGCACCGGCATGAACGGCGCGAGCAGCCGCTCCCACGGCATCTTCACCATCAGGTTCACCCAGGTGAGCTGCTTAAGCGCATCGTTGCTGTCTCTTGTTGTCAGTTTAAAAGTTTTCCTGCAAACTCTTTGGGTGTTCGTAAAAGTTATCCCATAGGAGCTCTAATTAACCTTGTTTATCTGTTTTATGTACTGATAATTTCCAACATGTTTATTTCATCTTCAAAGTCTAGCACTGTTGCCATTTCGCATACAAGTATTCCCATGTGTAGTTGCCTCTTTTGAACTGGGGATGGCTCAGTAGTGTTATTTCATGCCACAGGCGTGGTTTGATGCGGAGGTGCCCCGTGAGACGCTGAGTAAGATCCACCTGGTGGACCTGGCAGGCAGCAAGAGAGCAGACTTCAGGCTGAAGGAAGGCGCCAACATCAACAAATCCCTGGTCATCCTGGGAAGTGTGATCTCTGCTCTGAGTAAATGTCAGTTACAGCAGGACTGACACACCATGACACACCATCTTCTTCTAGTGTTCAGCCGATCCAATCAATAATTTAATGCGAAGGCAGCAATTTCATCCACCATACCGACTAGTGGATAAAACTGCTGACCTAGTATAGAATACAATGATTCCTTATCTCTCATCAATCCATTCTTTTAAAAATAAAATGCAGTTTTATTTGTTTCTTTATTCTGTAATTGGATGTCAGGTTTCATTCCAAATATTGATTTGAAGGTAAAATTTGACTTGATAAATTCATATCTGGAATTACATATGCAATTCAATGTATTGTCTTCATACCCAGCAACCCAAAACATTTATCTATAGACCTTGAGAAAAACGTTCACTTGTTACTGGAGTTGTCTGAATCAGTGTTTTCTCTCTGTGTGACCTTCCAGCTGAACTTAGTGTGGGAGGTCGGTCAACAAAAAAGAAGATCAGAGACTCTGTGCTGACATGGCTACTGAAAGACAGCCTGGGTGGAAACTCTGTGACTACTATGATCGCAAGTATGTGAACTCCACCTGACACCAAGACATTTCAGGCTGTTTCCAGTAAAGTGTGCATCCCAAGTGTGCATCCCACTCATTGCTCATATCTTCTTCCACATAATCATATGGTATCTTATGTGTGCTCTCCTCCCTCCTCGTGGCAGCCATCTCCCCCGCCAATGTGAACTACCTGGAGACCCTGAGCACGTTGCGCTACGCCAGCCGAGCTAAAAACATAGTGAACTCTCGCACGGTGAACTAAGATGAAAACGTGAAGGTGATCAGAGAGCTGCGGGCAGAGGTTTCCAGACTCCGAGGGCTACTAGAAGAAGCTGATCAGGTCCTGCATATGTTCAAGCTCACATAAAAGGCCATTGAGCACACTGCAATATGAATGCTAACAGTGTTTTATCCAAAGGTTACAATGTAGGTTTGGCTGTCTTTTCACTACTTCTCCAGGTTTCCCGTGTGGAGCCATCTTCCTCTGTGAAGGTAGAGGAGGAGCTGCATCAGAATGAGGCGAGGGTGAGTCATCCTCTGCCAAACGGAAATGTGGGGGAGGTTTTATGTTTTTCTTTGTAAACAATACACCTGCTATTGGACCAGCAAATGTGGACCAGCAAATGTGGCGAGACTCGCAGTATTTTGCAGGTAGAGCAACATTTAATATATCATATTAAAACAGTTTTTAGAAAAACAAAAACAAGAGATTGCTCCCACAAAAGATGCACAATTGCCCAAAGGCACATTGTTGTATCATAAAAAACTAACCATGTCTACAAATCCATGTTTTCTTTGTAATTATTTATATTACATGTATAACTACGTCCACCAAAACATCCAGGCACTTCCACAATACCTTTATCCTGAGTTTGATTCACACATTTGTTGACATAAACTCCTCTTACAACCCTTTTTTACTAAAAAAGAGATAAGAAAAGTAACCTTTGGTGCAAATACCCTTTGACCTATTCAACAGCAGTTAGTTTGACCCACAAAAGCAGGTTTCTGTTTGCTTCGATTCTTTGAAATGAGCTTGAGGATAACTAGGATTTCTTTATACATTACTTTTTTCTTACTACTTTAAAGACAACCAAAGACTTCCTGCAAAACCCTGTTGTTTGGCATCTATAATTTTGTTTGTGAACAGAGATGGGTTAACATTTCAGAATAAAATGCCACCTACACTTATACAATTCAATTATATTATTTGGAGCGTTGTTGTTTCTCTCAAAGCGGCAGTTTGTTAGGTGCCCTTGTTGCTTACGTTTTTGTTGCCTGCTTTGTTTTCTAGGCCCCAATTTAGTTATGTCAAAGTCCAAACCGCAATTTATTATTTGAAAATAAAAACATGTAAAACTGATTCCTTTTGAAGATTGGTACAGAAGGATATATGCACGTAAAATAGAAACTACTGAGTACATAAAGTGTGAAGGTTTGCTCTATAAATATAGATATAATATAAATCTATTAACAGTTACCAATCAACAAAGCGACAATTCTCCCAGCAGCAGTTTTGACAGATGTTGCCGCTTGCAGTAAAGACAACCTACCAGCTGGTGTCACTGCAAGTCTTGTAAACCACAGCCACTTCATGGAGTGGAAAGGCTAATGAGAGTAGAGTCGACCTGACATTTAAATTTAATTTCCCATCTATTTAGGGTTTAAATGGCATCCAAAAGCTGAGTCCTTGTAATGATCGTGAAGTTAGTGTGCGTGACAGTGTTTGGGGAGACTGACAAAGAAAAACAGAACAGACGTGCCTTCTCTTTCAACCCAATATGGTGTCTCTAAGGCTGGGACAGGGTGGCAGCATCTTTTATAAGACCCCGAGCTGCAACAAAAAATTCCTCTGTGTGCCAACTGCAGAGTTTACACGGAACAAATTTCCTCCTGTTGAATTTGTGCCCAACCTCTCAAATAACACCAAATGTCATCTGTTTGGGACTCATTGTACTCTGCCAAGTAGCCTGTTGCATTATGCATTGAACTCTGAAGCGTGCCAGTCAGAAAGTATGCAGAGAAATGTTGTCACGATCGTACATGCTTAGCAGATCATTCTCTCTAGCAGATTCCTGGACATGGAAAGATTTGTACATTTCTGACTTCTGCACCAGAATGGCAGAGTGAAGCTACACATTTAGGAAGCCATTGTGTAAGACATTAAAATGTCCTACGCATGAATGTTGGCTATACAGTATGCGTGTTGGATTTGTAACATTATGATACTGTATGATGTGGTTCACAGGTAACATTGGGTGGCGTGACAGCCCTTTATTAATGGCAGTGTATTTGAACTCATTAGCAGCTGTCGGCGCTCTTAATGAAAAGGTCTTGATTATTGACATATGGCACTTGTGTTTCTGACTATCCGGCATATTAATTCAAGTTACAGCGTTGTAAATCTGTTCACATGGTCAAGCACTGATGGCTTTATGCTCGGAGGCAACATCATCCATCTCTGCTGGCTGAGATGAAAAATATGCCTTATTTAGAGCTGTGCCCATTCATGTAGAAGCACCTGTTATGATGCACGATGCAACGTGACACCGGGGCAAAAAAGGCCACTGTACTGGTGACCAGCAAGGCCCTCTGTTGTGGCCGAAAGTCTAAGTGTTTGATGAATGACTTTATGGATTTGACATTTGTCTTGCTGTGCATTTGCATTCTGCACTGACGTTAGAGGTGGTGTATGTGCTCAGCTCGGTACAGAGAAGCACATCCAGCCCCATTTTGAAGTGGCCGTTTCAAAATTCAGCACACATACCAAACAAAACCTTAATCACATTTGGGGAATTTATTTAAAGTAGTTTCTTCCTAACAAATGGCCTTGTGTATGGGGCTATACATATTGCACGCTCTACATCACCTAACACATTAAATTAAGAGCTTCTTCTTCTTCAACTCTTCGATTCTCATATTTTTGGGGGGGTTTGATTCAGTAAATGCTGCTGCTGAGAGCTAGATGAACATTTCTGCCTGGGCCGGAAGGAGACAAGTTGACCAAGAGGGGGTAAACAGAGTTTTGAATTCTGTATTCAAAGCAGATTTAGAATGCAAAGTTATTCATCGTCAGCTTCCCAGATTGGTTACAGGGCATGTGGGAAAGAAAAAGTAATTAATATGAGATGGATTCCACAGCAGCCTCTTACCAGACAGAGACGGCGACCGATTGAGAGAACAAAAAAGGCAGGAAGAGAGTAAAGTGAAATGTTGTTCTACTTCAGGGTTATACACACACACACACGCACAGATTTTGTGAGTAGCTCTACTTCACGAGTGCAGTTTGCTCCCCAGCCACTCTTTCAGTTCCCCTTTATAACACAGTGGTGGGAGGAACCTCAATTTCAGTAAGATAAAATGAAACGGGGTTTCTTTGATCTTAGTGTTTTTTGTACTTCCCAAACACGCTGCAATCAGCACAAAGACGCAACTTAAGCCTTGAATGCTCTCAGCCTGGCTCTGTTTAATGCCAATTTACTTCATACTGTCAGCAGTTATAAGTTTTCAGGTCATTATTGCATTTCAAGACCTTTACATATTCTCATCAGCAGCTCACCTATTGATTGTTCACATGTCAGTAAAAGTCAGTTCCAAACTAGATTGACTTTTTCTTAAATTAAATTCAAGAAATCATCTGGCCATGTCTGAAATGCACATGGCGAGCACATGTGTTATACATGCCATTCATGCATAAGGACTCACATCTCCAACTGAGGCCCAAATATAAATTCTACTAATAACAACCCAGTCAATTTTTCACATTCTTCAAACAAATGAATGACACAGATAATAAGAATTCAACTCAGCTACAATTTCAATAATATATTGAAATGAGTTGAATGGGACACATAGATGAGAATGTATTAACTGATTAGGAGCCCAGATCGTTTTATTGAGTTTAATCCCTCTCTAGTTATTAAAACAAACTGCATGCATGGCAACATGCTGATGTCCAGAGTGCATATCAAGCTAATTACACAGAACATTCACACTACGGCCAGAACAACAACTCTCTGCTTGAGATTCTGTTTTCACATGTAAAAAAACCACAAAATAACATAAAGGGGCGAGTAAGAAATGGAAACGGCTGTTAATAAGATGCCAATCCCTCTCTGTTGGTTACCATTGTGGAATATAAGGCTTCATGCCATTTAAAAAGCTGGCCATGTAATTGCCTTTCCCTTCATGCGCTTTCATTTGAACTTTTATAAAGAGCAATATTATTGGGTATAAATACAGCTCTTTCATGGAAATTAACCTTTTTAATGTAACAGAAAGATTGAAATGCCTGGGTTCAGTTGCTGCTTATCTGTTCTGTTGGCGAGTTGCTCCACTTAACGAGGCTGATGGGCAGTCTGGAAAGAAGGATTAGTTGGAATAGTGTGTTTTTGAACTGCATATTAATAAAGGCAGGAACCTGAACTGTCAAAGTGCTGAGAAAAATCCATTAAAAACTCTGCACAACCACAGATGATGGCTTTAATGGGAGCCTAAATGCTGCCCGAGACTGGCTGCTGGTCTGGGCCACAGTTAATTACAGTACGTTCACCAGCTGCCTCCATCTCAAAGCAGACTTCTTTGTGTCACCCGCACAGACGAGACTGACTGACTGGGTGTGGTGAGGAGCAACTCTCTCTGTTTTGTGTGTGGATGTTGGGAGATCTCATCTGTTCCTGATGTCTGTGGAGAGTGACACAGTGCATTAATCTGCCAGGCTGCTCCTTACCTTTTTAATGAAGTCTGTGAAGAATCCCTTTTAATTAAGTACAGGGGCCAGGGTCGATGTCTCTCCTTCTTCATTAGGAAAAAAAAGGATTTCTCACAACTGCCAATGAGTGAGGTGTTGCTGGTGGTGGACACGTCTCTCACTTCACCGCCCAATCTATACGAAGGAGAGCAGGAGGAGGTTGAAAGAGAGGGGAACTAGTTTATGCAGAGTGTTGCCTCTGAATCCTCCATATGTGAGATTTTCTGCTCTGCCTCTTGGGGAGGTACTTATGATAATCCATGGCAATGTGAGGCATTAGTCCACCAGCTTAACAGAAGAATACTTCTGATAGGGGCCACTCGTGCTTGGGTAGACTCTGGGTTATTGAACCACAGCCATTGCCCTGGGAGGAAAAGGTTAGCGGCCTTAACACTTTGCCTCGAGAGTTGAGTTTCTTTTTATGGCTTAATTCAGAATGCCTTTTGAACCCTGTAGGTTGTCGAAGGCTGAGTATTTAATCTGTTGTTGAATAATTGGCAAATGAACTGCTCAACAAAGTCATTCTGTCTGCTGCCTGTCTGGTATTTTCTAAAGCTAGTAAGAAATACAAATATAATACTAAATGACTTCTTTATACAAAGTTAAATGAATATCGCCCCTTGACAGACACGCATGCTGTAAGGTGGTGTGACTCAGGCTTTTACATTTCCTCCGCAACAATTGTTGGAGGCAGTGAAGCAGATCAGAGGTTTAAGTGTAGCTGTCCTGTGCTTTTAAAAATGGCTTTCAAGGATTAAATCAATTTATCTACCTCTTATCGCATTTCTGTAGAGAGATGCTGTAACACCATTAAATACCTTTTTTATCAGGGGTTTCTGGACAAGCAGTATGAAATGATTTCTTTTTTCTTTTTATGCAAGTTTGAGCTCTCATGAAACTGTAATGTTGCTTGTGTGTCACTATTTAATCAATAGCCCATGTGTGAAATATAGACATTGAATCTCTGTTTCTAAGATTTGGCGTTTATGTTAAACAAATGCCATGTTTTATTGGAGGAAATGAAAGAATCCCGATGAAATAGTTTTATAATGAGTAATTTTAGTACACTTATTCACTGTCCTCAACAAATAATACTCATTTTTTGCCATGACATGATTTTCCCTCAGCCTCCAAGGCAGAGGAATTCACTTCAGTCTGACCTTCCATGCAATACTCCCATCAGACACATTGTAAATGACACACAACTACCTGAAGTTTGTTGCTGTTATCTAAAGTTGACATACTATCGAGAGTATTCACATGCAATGTTGATGGCTATGTCTCCATAAAGGCAATGGCGCATGTTATACAACCCATTGTGTGTGTGTGTGTGTGTGTATGTGTGTGTGGGCGGCAGCACTGCGTCTGTTTCGCTCGCTGAACACAATGTACAGTTCGACTCTCGCCACCATAATCTGAATGATTTATGGTGTCTCTCTTGCCGTTAGCTACTCTGCCGCTTCACGGCGACACATGGTTGGAACGCCGCTATTCTGCCTGGCCTTCAGACAAGGAAGAGCAGTCATAAAGAATACAGTTTTCTGCTGGTTGCCATTAAATGTCTGTCAGCATTTTTATTTTATATTGTGTGCCATTCCTGCTACAGGCTATTGAACGAGTTTGTTCCCCTCCATGGTATATTCACTGCAGGAGGAGACTGTGGCTCTGAAGAAGAAAGGCAGTGGAGTGCTCCTGGGCTGCCAGTTGCCTCATCTGATAGGCATTGATGAAGACATGCTCAGCGGTGGAATCGTCCTGTATTATCTGAAAGTGAATCATTTGAACTTCACATAATACGCAAATTATTCAACATTTGTCTCAAATCATTACCAGTCAAGGTCTATTGCTTCCGTTAATTGCCAAACAGCTTGCATATTGTATCATGACCTTTTAATCTTCGCTGTAGGAGGGCAAAACGCTGATTGGGAGTGAAGAAGCCTCATGCAGTCAGGGTATTGGTGAGTCAAGGATACTGCGATATGTTCCCAACAGCTGTGTTCTGTATTAAACTGATAATTAGCAGTATGTCTATGCTTTCATTTTTAATTGTATTGTAGTGCTTCATGGTCCTGGGCTTCTCAGTGAACATTGTGTGTTGGAGAACCGCGCTGGGACCGTGACTCTGATCCCGCGGGATGGTGCGCTGTGTTCAGTCCACGGCTCTGTGGTAACTGAGCCCTGCCAGCTGACCCAGGGTAAGTATTTCTACAAAGAATAATATGCTCTTGATATTTTTTTAATGAACCTGAAGGGAGGGGGGGGAGGCGTGCCTGTAATAATGAAGATTTCTCATTCAGATTCCCAATTATTTGGCTGGTGGGACGCAGTAACCCGCTCATCCATTTTGAATGCAGTGATATGAGATCACTGCATCACATCTGCAAATGAAATCCACTTTTATGTCCCTGGCACCCCCACGGCAGCACACACTTGGGGCATGAGTGGATTGTGAAAACAGCTCTCCACAGGGCAGATGCCATTTCTCTTACTAAATATTTTGAAGGGCGAGGGACCCCAGACAAAGCTCCAGACAAAGCCTCAGGCCCTCCATTTAATTGGCAGATGGAGTTGATAGGCCCGACAGGTTTGAAGTGGGCCAGAGCATTAACCTTTGAAAGGACAGAGCCGATCCTGAGCTGAAACTCCTGCCCCCCTGAGCAGACCCTGCTATCCGGGGCTGGAAGCTTTTCCCCGCTTACTACCTCCTCATCCACACTGCTTTGCTTTCCAGAGATAATAACTGCACACAGAACCAGGCGGCGCAGGGCCTGGCTACGCTGGTCTCTTTTATAACCATTTCAATTTATCCAATATCCCCTTCAGAAACGGCGGCATCTGAAGCTATTTTCTTGAACAAATGATAGTAATTTTCAGTCCAACGGCAGCTGGAATCCATCACAGGCTGCCCTCTCAGGTGCTTTGTCACTCGTCAGAAGTCATTAGTAGTGGCAAGATTAGTATTTGCTGTGCGGAGGTGAGGAATGAAGAGGAGACCTCAAGAAAATCTGTGGATGTGACCATATGAGTGCGAGTCTGATTTATAAACCTTAATATCACTTCAATTCTATAGCTTTACAAGACTCCTCAAGTTCCCTGGGACCATTTTCTCTGGTAAATCATCCCCCTGGTCTAGGTCACTGCCAATCAGACTGGGATTGGGTTCTTCATGGCAATTCATTTACTTTGCCTCAACAGAGGAAAATGTTGGGAGAACTTTCTATGCAATTTGTCAACTTTTCCTCAAGCTCAGTGCAGAGACAGTTCACTGCAGGGTGATTTCATGCATTATAGATACTGCCACACCTCCAAAGGTTACCTGGCAGACCTGCAGCACCATTCCTGAAGGTTTCTTACTTCTGCCAGTCTTTCTCCCAGTGTATTACATAATTCAATGTTTGGTGCTGCAAATATTAAGTTTCAGCCACTAAATTAGTTGCTTTTTTTCATGCTATTCCTCTCCTGTCCCCTCTAGGTGATATCACCAAAGCTAGGAGGTGGAACTTTACTCCGGTTTAACCAGCCGACTGAAGCTGCCCAGCTCAAAGAGAAACTTCAGGTACAAACAGTCCTATTGTGTTTTCTTCATGCCATCCTGCTGTTTTTGTATAGCTGAGAGCCTCTTTCAGAAAACATGCTGCCTTTTCTCCTGTTAATTGTGTAAAGCCAGTCAGCAACATGCACTTTGTTTCCATAACTACTAGCTGTAATAGTTGCTTTCTTCAGCAAACGTGGCTCATGTTGAACTTCACACTTCGCTCCACATCAGAAACTCCACAATAACACTGCCAGTGTGTGATCCATGCAGGTTTTTTCTGATCAGAATACAAACTACTGCCCGCTTCTCGGCTGTTGCTGCTTGTTTTTGCCTGTTTAGCATTAAACTCTACTCCTTTTGTTCTGATTAATTGGCTCATAAAAAAGCACCAGACCTGCACACAGCAAGCAATCTCTCCCAAATATTGAACTGTTTTCGACCTCAGAGAAGCTCTCTCTGAAAGGAAGCCAGGTGCAGTCACTTTAAAACTCGCTGCTTTTTGCCCAGCCTGAAACAGCTCCCCCTTGGCTCTCATTCACTTTCATGTGTTTTTTAAAGAGCCATTGTGTGTGAAGGCACCCTTTCTTCTGAAGAAACCACAACCAGTGTTCCTCTGCAATAATTTGTTTATGTTTAAGTATTCTTAAGTTAGACTGTATAAGTGGTTGAATTAATAATACAATGGTTGTGTGCTTGACAGACTAAAAGCAGAAGGAGTAGGATTTGCTGGTTACAGATTGCAATGACACTCGAAGCCACATCACTGCTGTATGGGTCAGGGTGTTTGCTCGCGGTTGCAAACCAACCTCAGATTCACTCTCGTTTGGAAACAAGCTTTGTCCAACTATATTTATGTTTTTCTCAACCCAATGTCTGCCATTTTTTACAATCCGGCATCTGGTTACTACGTTTTTATAGGCGAGAGGCAGACGCCCGGAGTTGTTCTGAACACATGAAGAATAAAAAACAGGGGTAGGGTCACTGCAGATTAGAAGTATTTTGTGTATATATTGTTCTAAAGGAACTTTTCTACACATTTTACTTGTGTGCTGCAGGTCAAGTACATGTTTATTGTTAGACAGTATCAAATCACATTAGCATTATATGGTAAATGGATAAATAGAAACAAATCTCTAACTGAAGACCATCTCCACTCTTAAGATCACTTCTGTTGGTATTTTTCGGGTTTGATTAATTATTTGACGTTAAATAAATCAGTATCTGTAAAGTTGTCCATTTCTTAACACCTACATCATGAAGATAAAAGGATATTCCAAACAAAATCTTCCCAAAAGTACTAAAAACAAGCCCAATCAGGTGAAGGAAAATAAAAGTGCAGTTATGTCAGTCAGATACTCTAAATCTACTTCGATTAACCATCCACAGAAACTGAATGTGTCTGTGAGAGGAGCACTAGCCAAGCAGGTTACACCTAGAGGCCAGTATGCAGGTTTCCATTCCAAATATGGTAGACAAAGTGCATACAAATACTGTTTCCTAGGTGCTGTACCACTCGGCTTCATGGCAGAGGGAAAAACTCTGTCGAAACTAGGAGTGAGCATTTGTATTTGCAGTTGCACAATCTGAAAAATATTGCTGCCACACTCAAACTGCCTGTATGTTAAAAAGTAAGTTCCAGTCTGGTACAATTGACCTACAACTCTAATCTTGTCTCCTTTAAGCATTTCCTCTTGCTTTATAACATTTTATGTTGCAAAATGTATTCAGAAACCATTTTACAGACACAGCTGTACTTCTGTTTTCTGACAGCTCTCTGCATTATTGAAAATTGCACACCATTACAGCCAAATAAAGTGGAGACATCCAGGACCCGCTGTGGTCTCGAGAAGAGTCTTTGTCATTCATTTTTAACATCGATCTCAAATGAGATGGTCTTAAGAGTTCTACATTTCCTCAGTCTTAAAATATGCCAGCAGACTGAAAATGCCCTGTGTAACTCTGGTTTTAAAACGGTATATTTCAAATGGCAAATGGCAGTCTAACGGTGTTAAATATTAAATGTGAATATTACAGAACCACAAAATGGACCTAGTTATATATTAAAGGTGCTTTTTCATTTTAGGAATATGTAATATCTTCATGCCGTTTGCCCTCATTTGGAAGGGTTTTGATTAACTAGATTTTAGATTTTGACATCCCTCTTAATTTTGTCAAAGCTCTTCAATCTATCCTGTTACATTTTGTGAAAAACAGTGTGATGAATACTGAAGACATACAGCATATACTATTAATTGAATCATCGCATAACTGCAAATCAACCACAGGCAGCTGTCACTCTTCTCACACTGCCAGATTTACATTTCACAGTGCTGTCTCATTCTGTTGTCTGCAGAGCGGGCTGCCGTCTGCCTTCAGCCTGCCCTTGACTGACATGTCCAACTCTACAGAGACTCTGTCCGAGGCGATGCTGCAGAACCCAGGGTGAGACGCATGCAGACATGTGTAATAGCTCTCAACTCTCAGTGACCCAAGCATAACTGAACCCTGTCCACCTCAATCTCCACACTGTGCCTGCTTATTGAGCAATGTTCATCGGGCGCATGGACCAAATCAAAGCCATAAATCATGGCAGCATTTCTGTGAGGAGAGCTGGGAACATGCAAAAAAGCCATTTTGATGCTTAATGCTGAGCCAGTGGAAAACACAGCAGGCAAACTCCACTTCTACAGCCCAAGGGCGTGTCCAAAAAAAGCCTTGAGTTTTGCAGGTAGGGAACTACCCTGTGTCCCATTTCCAAAATTACTGCAGTGCACTTAAAGTTCAGATTCCCCTAAACTCCTAAAATGCAGAGTGAAGAAGAAGAAGCAGCAGCAGTACTGATGGGAAGTTACATAATTCGTTTTGCTACACTCCCACCAGATCCATTTTACATTAGCTCTTTCTCAATCTGCATTCTTTTGAAATACCATCAGCTATGGCCATAGCAGCCATTCAAAGTCCACATTTAAGTGTCTCAGCATCTAGTGATAACTGCAGATGATATAAGCCCCTGATATAATTGTTGTTCTATGTCACTAAATTCATGTCTTTAAATCAGTCATTTAGATCTTGCACATGTGGTTAATATATAAAAAACAAAATGCCCTTTTTGAAAATTTGAGCTGTTTTTTTCGATGTATCAAACTTTCTAGGTGTGCAAAATGCCTTTGGTCATACTGCGGTAATATTTAATACGGAAAGTCTTTTGTTAGTTTAGTGTTGACACTATTATGTCTGGAGTGATTCAATCATGCTTTCCTAAACCTTAGTCTTAGTGTACAATTGTAATATTTGGTTTTCCCAATTGGCTGAAGGTAAAGTGTAGAGGTTTGTGTTTTGTATTGGGCAAAAACATATTTTAGTTGCCTTTGTGTAACCTATATCTAGATATTGCCATTAATGAATAATATTAAGCAAATATATATATGAAAAGAAAAATATGCTATAGTTACATAAAAATCTTTAACAAACAGTGACATATTTTCTTTTGTCAGTTATGGTTCCTCACTATTATTTTTTATTACACAGCCTACCAAACTCTGAAAGGCACTGTGTTAATGTGACTGATCTTTATACCCTGCCACTGCCTTGGAACTGTGTGACAGGTCATTGATCTGTCAGTGACTCAGTGTTCATTGAATTAGTGCCCAAAATCCAATTCACTCTCTAGTGATTCACCACCTACTGAAGAAAGTGAGCAAACACCCCGAGTCTCATGATCTGATAACCCTCCCTGATGTTTTACAGCGTGTAGAGCTGGCTGACATGTAATTTCCCTCTCATTGCAGTATCCCCGAAAAGTGGCGCTTCCGCTCATGTGATTCATACTGCCTTCAGTCCGACACCTGGAACCGTTTCCCCCGATCCGCTGGTCTGACACTACCTGTATGTGAGGCGTAAATACCTGAGTGTTTGGAGGATAACTTCAAGGCCCCAATTAGTCAAACACATAGCCTGTGTTCATCATCACTGTGTCCAAAACACTTGGTTTATGTGTGAAATCGGTATCGCAGAGTGAGCGAAAAGATGGAGAAGAATTGAAGTCAGGAGTCTGTGGTTGACAGAAACTGAGACAGCTTGATGGAAGATTAGCAGCAGGACTGATACGTTTATTTTTATTTTTTTGCAGTGTACATATACACAGAGGCAAATACGGAAGTATAGCACATTTAGCAAAATACACTGCTTATTAATTTCCCTCTAAACACCCACCTCCTCTCACCCATGCTGTACAATCATCTGTTTGGCAGAGAGGGAAGGTTTTTTTTTTTTTTTATTCTTCTCATTGCTTGGATATGTATTCCATCCTTGTTCTGCTTGTTGTCCGTGTAGCATAAAATCCCTTGCAGCAAGGACAGAATTGATCTCTAAGTTTGCCCGATCATCTTGGAAATGAGCCTCAGTGGGAAAAAAAAGAGAAAATTACATTCAAATGGTTGCTTTGGATATCTGCTCAGCTCTGGAAGTGACAGGAGATATCATTGAACAGACCTACCGTTGCTGTAGGGGCTGCTCCTTTGCAACAAAGCAAGCCTCCTATTATTGTCTACATCAGTTGGATCACAGACTTGCTCACTAGAGATTTGGGACAGGAAAAAGGCTAGCTGCATTAACAATACATTGCAAAACTTCACATTTGTATATTTATCCAGATGTTTGATTCACTGATCTTTATTTATGAGATGTCAAGGAGCATTTATGTCAGCTGACTGCAGATTTTCTCATGTAGCCTTGCCTCTAAGCATGAGGTGTAGGAAACCAATTCAATTGCGCTTTTATTTTGGAAACATGAGATGGAAACTCCTAGAAGAGTCAAGAAAGCTTGGTTTGTCTGTTATTGCGAGGTCATATGCTTTTGCAATGTGCATTAATTCATGACCCCGCAAAAGACACACTCATGTGCAGTAGTAAAAGTCGGTCCACTGTGTTCTTTCCTTTTCAAATGGACTGTGTAACCAGAGCCAAGTTCAAATACTGCTCTTTCAAACACGGCAGAGTCTGGACTCTGAGAGCTCCCAGTGATGGAGCAGGCTAGCTGGCATTTGACCCATGCAGCTTTTAATGGCCACCTTAGCTCTGAAAGTCCCTCATCTGACAACCCTCTCAGTATTTGCCGTCTCCGGCCAGAAGGCCAAGTGGCGACTTTACTCTCTGCCGCCTTCTGACTGTTATTAGACGCTGGAATCTTCTGAAATTGTGTTTTTACACTGGTTAACATCCATCACTCTAGGAGCTCCTGTGCCACACCTCCAGCTTCTAGCTTTAGTGCAGACAGAGCAAGCCTACCTACAACAATGTTGCTCTGAAGGCTGTGATTATCTTTTTCATATTTGTGTTACTTTACTTTAAAGCTTTTTAGTCAACCTCCCATGTGTCTCTTTCAAATATCTGGGTTGGAGTTTCATAAAATAACCCAGAAATGTATGCAATGAGATGTGATGCAGATGAAGGGATGTAGGACTTCTCCGTGAAATCTGTGTGGGTGTGCATGCATGATGTGATAACTAGGAGGATGGAAGAGAAGCTCAACCAGCAGGAGGTGGAATGGCAGCAGGTCCAAGAAAACCTGAACAGACGCAACCGGGACATCAAAAGACTTTCAAAGAAAAACAGTAGGGCTCCCCATCAATCGAGAGCAGAAAGGAAGGCAACAGGGGCAGAGATGGAAGAGACTGGCAACGGGTGAGTTAGATGGAGGCGAACTGTGCTCTCTGTGGTGATGTTAATGAATCCTTGTTTGTGTACCAGCAGTCATTCCACAGCAAGATCACTGTAAACCTCTGCATGAGAGCAAAATGGTATCAAGAAAATGTGGCTCGCTTCTGAGACTAGAAATCTCAGATCAGTGTTCCCTCAATTTGTTCATGCGAGCAGACAAACATCTGCCGAGTGCAGGACATCCTCTGTACTGATCCTCAGGATCTGCAAAAAATCCTTTAATCACCACGAGGACCCGGCCTGTGATCCCTCTTGTTGATGTTGTCAATGCTTTAGCGCTCCCACTTTCCTCCCTCACCGAGCTGCCGCAACACAGCGCTGAGCCAAAGCCTCTGTTTACTGTCAGAAATCATTCTGAGCTGTATATTTGGTTTCTGCTCCCCCCTCTAGAGTGCTGAGAATTGTATGTAAATCCTCAAATCAACATGCACACATTCTATTTAATTTCACAGCTAGTAGAGAGGCTCTAATCTCATCCAGCCATTTGGGCTGTTTGCTTTTCAAATCTAATGGATGGTTTTTGTGAGGGCGGGGTTTGGGGTTTGTGCAGTCTTGTCTTTTGGCTGCAAACTGAAGTCTCCAGTGTCCCACCACAGCAAATAATTAAATTAGCTTTTAAAAACAAAGAGGCTGGCTTCGTGGATAGGCATATAAAACACAGATGTATTGTGCACACACCTCCCCATATCAAGACGCAACCTTTGTTCTCTAAAAGAATATGAAAAGATATTATTTAATTCTTGTCGCTTCACTGTGTCCTTTTTCAGCCAGATGGAAACGCAGTCTGCAGAGACAGCCGCGTCCATAGTGCCACACAGCTGTCTAACCTCTGCCACAATAGAGAAGCTCATCAATGCAGTATGTATTTACATTTTAATTTCCCAAACAAATCCCTCTCTTGATTAGATCTAAATGAAATAAGGATTTAATCAATGAGCCATGGGTATTTTCTGCATGAATTATATGACTTGTAATCATTTTTAAAGATATTGAATGAGCTAAAGTAGAGTGTGCAAAAGTAAGAAATGTGTTCTGCAGTCTTGAACAAGTCACTGTGCAACTGAAGTACAATTCCCTTTAGTCTTTTGCAAAACAGAAAATGTCAATACCTTCCTACCCCCCTTTCCAGCCAAGCTCAATACAGATTTTTACGAGGCATGAAATACTTTTTCCCTTGGCTTGTTGTGTTTGTTTAATATGCACATATTTTCCTTGAAACCCCTACAGGAAAGTGTAATAGGGTTTAAATGACAGTCACTCTACCAACGCACATGGCAATGAGAACACGTTTGAAGTACTCCTGTTTATACATGTACCTTGATGTTTTTCACAAAATGTTCCTTTGCATGTATTTATGTATTCAAATATAATTGAATACATTAATAAAGAGGCCTTTTTAAATGGGGCTGAATGAAATGGTTATTTGAATTCCTTCTCTGCAATGGCAGTGCTTATTTTTGTAGTGCATTGCATAAATTAACTAGAACTTTTTTGAAATGCCCTGTACAGAAGTTTTATTTCCTCATTGTTTCTCCTTTTCTCATCCATTTACACAATTCAAACTAGGTCATACCTGGTAAAGATCCTGTCCCTAACACCAGTATTCAGATGGATAGAGACACACTACAGGATGGGATAAGCACCAGGGATGGCCGGGAGCAGGAGGGGGACTTGTGTCATAAATCAGGGCCGGGGCTCATGTCTGAGTGGCCACGGAGGAAAGTGAGAGAGGAGGTTTGGTCAGGGGATGCCAGCCTCCAGCAGACAAGTGTCCTGGGCCCGGGTGATGGATGTGGCACGAAGCCAGAGGGGAATGCTAACAAGATCAAAGGCGCCGTGGCTGACTGCTACAAGGAGAGACCTGAATCTGGTGGGAGCTCATTAAGCAGCATGTCCCACCTGCAGAGCAGCAGAGGAACTCGCTCCACGTCTGTCCTCCCACAGAACAGCACTCATCCTCAGCTCGACATAAAGCCCCTCTGCAGTCAGGCAGCCCGCTGTCCGCCTGAGAAAACAATCTTCGAGGGCCTTTTTGGCTGTGCAGAGATGGATGAATCTGGAGGTTTGCAGGGGTTTACAACAGAGGTAGAGACTGCAGCAGCCTCTATTCAACACTCTGGGCTGGGCTCTCTGGTCAGCAGAGTTACTTGGTTGGTCCAGGGACCAGGGTGCAGGGCGTCTCCTGTGGAGCTCTCCCTCAGTATTGCAGCATGTCAGGAAAGAGGGTGTACAGCATGTTGGGGCCCGCTGGTCCAGTCATGTTGTCTCTCTGGTCAGGGAGGGTCAATATATGTCTGTAGTGAAGGACAGCAAGGTCTTCTCTCTGGTAAAGGATAGTCACATTTTCCCCATGGTTAAAGATCTTTCTATCACACAGCACATCCACACGGAGTTCACTCGATACCTTCAGCATGAAGAAGTCAAGATAAGTCAGAGCTGCATAAATACTAACGCATCAGAAAATGATACGTCGACAAGGAATAACAGTATCGAGGATCTACAGTTACCTCAAGAGCAAGACAAAGCTGATATTCATGTAAAACAAGGACACACACTCACTACAGAGCTGTTACCAGTGAAACACATCAGTAACCCAGTTCATCCATTCACCTGAAGACAAAGATCAGGCATGGGAGAACTCAATAAATGTCCACAACACAAACGACGTACAAATCTTTAGTCAGACGCTCATCTCCACCTCACTGCACAACTCCCAGAAGATTTTAGCTCTCTATTGGCTGAATGTTGCCAAGTGCAGCCAACCGGAGCCTCGCCCCGCCCTCCTGGTCCTGGCAGAGACCGGCCTCTTCACCCTGACTGCTGACTCCGGGCACCTGGTTATGTTCCATCAGCTCCCCTTGGTGCAGCTGATAGAGGTGCAGATAGGCTTAGCAGGCCACAGTCTGCGTTTGATGGGCTCCTCAGAGGAGAGCATCCTGGGAGTCTACACCCACAGCCACAGCCAGAACCTTACCAAATACCTGTGCTCGGCCATACTTGGTGTTATCTGCCCCTGGGACAGAAGGGTGTCTCAGCACCCGCTGCTTCATGGAGACCTGATGATGCTGTCTTTAGACTGGCAGGCTTCTGTACCTGACCTGCTGCTGGATGCTGGTTTAAAGGTCTGCTGCCAGTTTCAGAAAAGTCTTGCTGATCTGGTGTACTTTCTCCATTGTAACATGGAAGAAGGAGCAGTATCTCTAGGCGAAGTGCAGATACTGGTGTACACAGGTGTAGGGGTGCGGAGCAGTTCCAATAACTACACTGAGCCCCTGACCCAGCTTTTAGTCACTGACACCCAGCGGCATGGTGCAGGAGGATGCTGTCTTTCACCCGACTTCACGCTCTGTCAGGACAGAGCCCTGCCGTCCCCAATTCAATGACTTAACTCTCCGTCAGTGCTCAGATGTGTGCTGCGTGCTGGTGCATGATAAAGACGAGTGCGGTGCTGTCAGTCTGGATGTAATCTTGGCAAATGCGAGGGGCAGGGGTCACCCTGAAAGCGTGACTAAGGCAGCTAGCCCGTCTGCACACGCTTCAAATTCATCTCCGCAAGCCGAAGTGTGGAAATTAACTTTCAGTTGCTCCTCTGAGGCCGCTTTCCTGATTAAGCACTTGTCAAATGTCTGATCAAGGACTGAACAGCCAGTAATGAACAGCCCGGCTCGAAAACTCTCAATCACAGGGAGCAAAAGTGCATCCCAACCAGACAATGCAGAGGACAGCTTCACTGCTAAATGACAGTTAAACTATGAACTATTTTGAAGTTTCCATTTTGATTTGTTTTTCTTAAAGTTTGTCGTTTTAATAATACATGGCTTTAGCACTTTTATCTTTAAACCCCTTACATTTCTTTGTACTTGTATTGTTTTTGTTCTTTAACCATTAGCCCCCTATTATTATTGTTGTCAAAGGTTGTCAGTTTAATGTTATAAATAATTATCTTGACATTCAGGATTAAAAACCTGTTTGTACTGGTTTTGTTTGTTTCATGGGTATTGTAACATTTAAAAAAGGTATTATAGATAGATAATAATAATCTCCTTGCAATGGTTACTTAAATTGTATGTGTATGTCAAGATGTTCCCAATTTCAAATATTTTATAGACAAATCTAAATAAAGTATTTTGTTTAAATAAAAGAATGCTAAATCCAATACTGCTCTTTAGTTGTGTTTACCATAAGCTCTGATAGTTGATCTTTTAGCTCAAAAACAAAGAATTCAGGGTCTGATGCATTTCACGGCTTTGTCTAATACGTTGTTTTGCTATCATATCCATCAGGCTTTCTTTCTATACTCTCTTCTCTGTTGTGAGCTTTGGCGTTGGCTCCTAATTTTACTTGCAGCCTCCTCCTCAGTATCTAGGATTCTGCATACATTTGTATTCCTATCTTATCATCAAGCTCCACACTTAGTCAATCTTAGGTCAAGGTAAGCCCCCTCTCACACAGTATCTACCTGCACAATTTCTCAATGGATTCATCCCTGCCAGTCAACATCGTCTCATTCCAGGACTGAGCTTGTTCATTGTATGAGAGATGTTTTAAATAGCTTGACGAGCTTGCTACATCTCTTAGAAAGAACCCAAGTCTGATTCACATTGGGAGAATCAGAGCCAAAGACTGTTTGTTCCACGTCTTGACTGAGACCCCATACAGTTTGGAAAATTACCTGGACAATACAGTGCAATCAGTCTGCTTCTCTGCTCCAGCGTGAGAAATGGAGAATTGGTCTGAATGAAAAGCATCACACCCTGTAGCATGGAGATTGAGCTAGGATGACAGTAAGTGCTAGTTTTTAATTAACTGCATCTTGTCTTTTCGGCAGATGAGGCAATGAATTGTTTCAGTATTTGGAGTTCAGCAGCTCATTCTGTGTCATAAAACACTATTATTAATAATACAAAATGTATCAGTGGTTGCTCTTGCCATGCCATATTGAATGTGGGCTGGTGACTTTGTTAATTCTCAAGGTAGCTGGCTTTGTATCTCATTAGACTTTCCGCCTCCCCTGTATCACGTGGCGCTTTCAGTGTGCTATTTGTGAGACAATTATTCTGGAATGTAAACCGAGGGGTTTGAATAATCTCCTAATGCTAACAAGGAATTATTTCTCAACAACTGTCATCGTTCAATGTTTAGGAATTTATTTTTCTGTCCAAATGAAAAACCACTGCAAATCGGCTATCCCATTAGTTCACTGACTGCCCTGCATCTGAAATAGACAGGAGCTCGGGATGAGCACCGCCTGGTTAAGGGGAAGTGCTCACTCTCAGACAGCAGATACACAGACCCACTGGCAGGCTCTGAATCTCTAATCATTACTCTGTGTGATTTCCCACTGGGTTCTCCGGCCCTAATACGCACCGTCGTTGACAGCACATAACAAGATAATTTGTTTACCTTCTCCTTTGGAAGAATATGAACGTGACCCAGTCAGTTCTCTTATTGCTTAGCTGTTGATGGGCTAAATATTTTTTGAGTCAATCCTTATTATTCTGCATGCATATAGCAACCCCATCAATTCAATGATTCACTAATGTTTTCTTTTTAAAGGAAAATCCACGACCCACTGCTTAGGTGTACATTGCTCCTCATGATGTTTATAGGTTTCAAATCAGTTTTGCATTGGCAATCTTAAAATCACTGTTTCTTCTTTACTTTACTTTTCTTACTTTAATGGTTACACATTCAGCTTTTCTCTGGAATAAGAAACATCTTGTTATTCCAAGAACTAATCTTTCAAAGGAGCTTGCTATTCAATTGAACCTGGTAGTGGCCTTTGGAAAAGAGGCCAGCAGATCAGAAAGATCATTTATAATGCTGGTGGTTTGCCCTATATTGCGAAGACAAACTGCTGTGTGGCTAAAGGCCATACATCGGACCAAAATACTGAGGCGCTATTGCTGTATTTTATTTTTCAAATGCAATTAACTATTATAACTCCTAATTAAACAAACAGCTTCTTTCAATTGGCTACTGATGCACAGCGTTTTGTGATCATCTGTCCACTTACTGTAGGAAAAATTCATACAATGTAGGTTATATTGCTGTGTTTTTACATACTCTTTTAAAATGCACCTCGTTGTTACACTAGCCTTAATTATGCAAAATAGGCTGCTAGATAACATTTGAAACACTAGATACATTTTAAAGTTTAAAATGGGGCTCTTGAAGAATAAAGGGTGTACATCATGAGTAGGCCTATATGTGCTATACTTATGACACTGTTGGCTAGTTCAGTTAACTCCACTGCTACAAGTTGCAATTTATATCGTACGCACCCTTTGTAATCGGGCAGTGTATTTAAGCTCTTCTCACCTGGACAAGCAGGCTGCAAACTCTGCAGAAAATACTTAAACCTGCTGCTACTATTTGCATGCTTGACTGCTAACAGCCCAGCCGTGTTGGACATCGTTTTGGAGGAGAGATTTATATTTTTGCCACCCGCTCAGCAGCTGCTAAAGGTGTTGAATCACCTGTAACGTTACGCCACAAATGCACATAGGAATTGCAAAAATGTTTGGATGAGTGACCACAGCTGTAACACTTTTTTTTCTCTCCAGGGGACCACTGCCTCACTTCAACAAGCTAAGTACTCTGCTCCTGCTAATGTATTTTAATGGCTCTGTGGTGTGCTAAAGCAACGACTGTCATCAGCTAGCTAGGTTCTTGTAGCCACAAGATTTGTCCGGAACTGTTAGAAATTAAAATCAATATTCAATGACGTAATTTAGTTTAAACGCACAGTAAGCTTTGTCGTAGCAGCTGATACCCCCTCTGGCACTGTATGCAACACCATCTCACCCTACAAGACAGGGCTTTATGTCAAGGACCCTTTTTCAAGTTAAATTCCAGCTGAGTGGAGGTCTTTGTAAATGTCCAATGTCTGCATCCCCACTGTTTTAAAATTAATTTCACTCAAAGCAGCAGAACGTAATTAACTTCATGGCTATAGTCCCATCTAATGAAGGCGAGTGTTTGCCAGCATTGGCAGGTTTTATCCATTCCTCTGATGGAACGTGTCGGAGTCTCAAAGGATACGGACACAATGGCAACCTGAATGTCACTGGCATCTTTGAGCGGCACTCATTTGTGAATGTCTGTCCACCGGGCAGAGAAAACTCTCTGGCCTCTCGAAGGAAGACTTTGTTACACGTGTCATTTTTAAATTGGACTCCATCTCTCTCTGCCCACCCCTGCGCAGTTTTGGACCTCACATGAGCTTCATTAGCATTTGCAGGAACTGTGAGACATTTACCACCATGGATTGTGACAGATTTCACAAGCTCAATTTTACTGTTGCCCTAGGGGGGAAGAAGCAGTGCTCACCATCTGTTGATTGTGACTGTACTCGGCACTTCTATGAGACACAGCCTTTCTGCAATTGCTTACAGTTCTACGACAGTTATGGTATTTTCACAAGAAACAGAAAATGTGATTTGTCCTAGAAGTTGAGGTGAAGAAAAGCTTTTTCTTGACAATTGGCAGGCAAGGAAAGTAATTTGCCTTCATTTTGATGTTCGTTGTTTTTGGGGGCAATATTGTTTGGATCACATAAGTGGCTTGCCATGCTTGCATTCTGATTGTAGATGGGGTCTTGATTGTGTTTGGCCTTTTGAATGCAGTAGGGGTTAGCTTGAGATATTATTATACTGGAGCTGCTGATTGGTTTACAAAAAGCCCACTAATAAATGATTTATTTGTGTAAATGAGAGTTTGTATCATTTGATTTGAAGATGTTTGGAATTCTGATAATAGATAGAAAATTATGTAAATTAATAGGAGCTTAAGAGGGATATGAGACTCATGCGTGAGTACAAAAAAGACTTAAGTTTGTTTTATAACAGAATTTTGAGTACGTTCAGAAATATATTGAACAATATCACTGTTTTACATTGCTCGTGGGTACAGGTCTCTTAATTGCCTCTTTTTATTTGTGAAAACCGACATTAGAAGTTTGTTTCAGTGACACTCACTGTTAATTAGCTTTTAACTTGCCTCTGAGGCTGCTCTTCTGTTATTCTTTTATTCATAAATTGAATGTGCAGCTTACAAGTTTAACACCTTGAAAAAGCAGCAAAGTTCATATTGTGCTGCTGGCAGGGCACTGCAGTCCTTTGAGACCTGAGAAGTATTTGTGATTATGTTTTAATAAAAGGAGACGGAGGGGCTGTGCAGCACGCTGCACAGAAGAGAAGTTCCTCTGAGTTGATGTGCTTCTACATCATTTTCTTAAGACTCCCATTAAAGTTGAGGAAAGAGATGAAACTTCAAATATTCATGAGTAACAGAAAAAGCTTTCCATATATTCCACAAAATAAACTTGTAAAGGTGCTTAAGACGACATGTTCTGTAAAGAAGAAACATACAAATGCTTTGGTGCATTGAAGTATAATGGTTGACAAAGATCATAAAAGTCTTTACTTTTGAAGTGTTAACATATTCAACTTCTTTTTGTATGATGTGCCTTTTTGTTAGTCCCAGCTGAATAATGTTTTTAGTCAGTAGTTGTTTGCCCTTCAGTAATCCTTGGTCCCCTGACTGTTATTTATGAGGGTCCAGTCAAAAGTCAGCTCATTGTAAAAAGGCTGAGGGACAGGTGGAGGATAAGTATGGCTGATAGTCAGATGGAGTAGCTACTTGAATATGCACCTCGTGTCAGCATGGTTCATTTAGAAAGACTCTGGCACACTCCTATTTCAGTAGCAGCTGGGTTTTAACTTCTCACTCCATTATGAAGCAAATGATTGTGCCAACGCTATGCTAATGCTGATTCAATCGGGGCTAAAGTCAGTGGAGCACCGTTAGATTGGTAAATTGTCCATAAGTATAGTCTGAGTCGTCTTTTTTCCCTTGCTTCTTCAATTCTCTTAGGTCCCAACGCCTTTTAGAATGAAAACATGAAGATTACAGAGAACCGTTTGTAGGACCAGGTGAATCTTAAGCAGGCTTGGCTTCAAATCAAAAAGTGCTTTATTATT